TGAATCCCCAACTTTCCAGCTTTTATAGTTTCCGAGATTTCAGCGTTCGTACGGACAGACTTGGCTAGTGATATGATCAAAAATATATGTATATACTTTATAGGGTCGAAAACGCGTACTTCTACCTGTTACATACAATTGCACGAGTACAATATACCCTTTTACTCTATGACAACCCGTTACACTTTCTACATATTTATCATTCGCATTCTCTACAAAATATGAAATCAGAACACCTAGATTTGCTATTCGGGGGAAATCTGGTTGGAATGGTTTTCTGTGACACCCCCGTATATTTTTAAAATTTAAAAAGTTTTAGAATCAAAATTTAAAGGGAATAACTATAATATTTATTATAGTAATTTTTAAGACCTAGTCTTGTCGGATCGGGCTCAAACAAATAAATTAAATTAAATTAAATAATAATAGCTTTCGTTCGGCGTAACACTTGTTTCAATCGGACTATAGTACCAGATTTTCAATTCTGCGGCTTTACTTAGAAGTCTCCTCGCGCACACTTCCGGTGTGAAACGTCACTACGTCGTCTGCCGTCAACAGTGACCCTTCAGTTCTGGCGTCCCATGTCGGGGACAATTCCTTAGGCCAAACGCTCGGCCGCTGTCGACGTCAGCAGAGCAGTCGGTATTTATATATTGCGCTCTCTTTCCTTGTCTTATAATTTGTTGTTGTACTGAAGGAAAAAGCGGAACTCCCATACAATTTTCTCTATGTGGCATCCTCGGTTCGTCCTGAGGTACAAATGACATGTCCTCGGGCTTTCCTTTGGTGATTACTGAGGGAAAAGTGACATCTGGAACTGAAGGGGATTTACAAAATTGTAGATTTCTCACACCACAAACAAAAACCTAAAATCGGATTCCGGTTAATTTTATTGCATTAATTTTACTCGTCGTTCATTTCGGACTTCTTTTCACTTCGTCTCTCTCGATTTTCATGCTCACCCAGGGCTGGTTTCTCGAGCCCCTGTCCCTGATAGATATCTGTCCAAAAAACTTAAAGACCAAATAAACTGTTAGTAAAAGGAAATCCACTTTTTCGACTGCGCTATTTTATCTGAACGAGAAACAATTACAGAGTGCTGTGAACGCACAGAATTGTGCTGTAAAGCGCAAAAATGGCGTGCTTTGATTATTTCATCAGCTGTTTGGGTATAATTTAAAGGCAAAGTCAGAGAGAGAGATTTCGTTTCTTCTTCTTACTTGTCTTTGGGAAATCAGCTGTCATTCTATCGAGCCGAAAACGCTTAAAAGGGGAGATACATATAGAAAACAAAAAAAAAATTTTTTTTTTTATTATTTAAATTGGTAACTCTTTAAGAATGTGTCATGAAAGTTTCAAGAAGAAATTCGAACTATTTATTATTCTTATTCCAGAAACAACAAGAAAAATAAGAAAAAAATTTTTATTTGACTTTAAAAGAGAGAACCAGAGTTTTTGAGATATTCTATGTAAAATAAAACAAAATTTGGTTTCACAAAAGTCGGATCTACACAGCGACCTGTAGACGATCCGCAGCTGGCCTACTTTTTTTAAAAAAGGCCTGACAAAAAAATTTCCACGGCCGCCATTTTAAAAGATACAAAAGAAATTAAAATTGGTTTAAATTATATAAAAACTATGTAACAGGGACCGTAACTGTTATAGGTTTTATTTAAAAAATCACACTTTAGGGCTAGTACTCAACCCAACAAAAAGTCGTTTAAAACAAAAACTTCATATGAAACAAAATTTTTTGACGTTGATTTTCATATGAAGTTTTTTGTTTCGGACGACTTTTTGTTGGGTTGAGTACTAAGCCTTAACAGTTATTTTCTGATTTGTAAAGTAAAACTCAAAGAATAACTGTTATTTTTTAAGTTTTAAAATAAAAGTTGACAAATAACAGTTATTCGTCGTGATCAAAAATAAAACTCAAACTTGATTTATAACGGATTTGTGGGTAAAATAAATTTAAAAAAAATATAGTTATAAAATATGCGCGGTTGCCTTTTTTAACAAATTTTTAGTAAGTTATATAGCATGTTAGGTTAGCATGTTTTTTTTAATTATTTCATTTTTTCAAAAATGTCAAGGGAATAACTGTTATTCATAAAAATCAACAAATAACAGTTCTTTTATGAGTTATATTATAAAAATCAAAAAATAAAAAGGTAATACTATACATTAGCGGGCTCACCCCCGAAATTCGCGAAAAAATTATCCTCAATGGACCGCGATTTCTTAAGAATTTACGTGCAAAAAGAATTCGGCGGTCGGCCATGGTTCTCTTGTAATTGAATTTCAAAGTTCCCGGGTTTGCTATAAAAACAAGTATGCTTTTCTAACGTTTGCTATAAAAATCATATATGTATATATGTACCCTTTTCCTTTTTTGTCAAAATAAGACTAATTTAAAATTCCAAACATCTGAGTAATTGGTATTATAGGGAACTAGTCCTCACAACCGCCTAAAAACTATCCTCGATGGACAGCGAGTTCTTAAGAACTCTCATAACCATGGATGAGCACATGTGTATTTTTATTATGATAATCAGAAGAAATCGCGGTCCAAGGAGGATTATATATTTTAACCTTTCTTTTAGTCTTTTCCACCCAAAACTAAACTTAAAGATTGAATTTGTATTTTCTGAGCGACACACCAACCCTAATTCAGCTAAAACTACTATCTTAATATTGAGAAAAAAAACTGCGCCGCAGGCCAAAAAAATGTAAGAAAAAATCGCGCGATTTTTTCTTAAATTTTGTTTGCCTGCGGCGCAGTCTTTTTTTAAATTTCTTTTTTAAACGCACTTCTTTCAAATACTTCTTATTCGGGAATACTTCAGCAGAGAGATATCTAGGCCATAAAAGGTTATTAAAGAAAAAACCTGGAACTTTACCTCAATGGTGGTGCGGAAAAGTGTTCATTAAAACTTTTAATTTAAAAAAAATTCTACATTTTTTTTATAGGAACTCATTTAAACAATTAAATAATTTTATAGGAACTCATTTAAACAATATATTAATTTTATAGGAACTCATTAAAACTTAATTACTTTGATTGAAAATATGAGAAAAGCACCCTTGTTTTTTATAGCAAACCCGGGAACTTTGAAATTCAATTACAAGAGAACCATGGCCGACCGCCAAATTCTTTTTGCACGTAAATTCTTAAGAAATCGCGGTCCATCGAGGATAATTTTTTCGCGAATTTCGGGGGTGAGCTCGCTAATGTATAGTATTACCAATAAAAATCATTACGGATTTGTAAACTACAATGGCTAATAAAAATAGTGGTGTATTTAAAAAAATTTTATGACCCCTCTAAGTGCGTGATTTTTTTGGTAAGAAAAATTTACAATAACAGTTATTTTCGGTCCCTGCTATGTAATCAACATGCCAGGTTGCAAACTTCCAGCACAAACCCTTATTGTTTAAAAAAAATCATGAAAAACTTGACAAGTTTGCAGTTCTATATGTATCTCCCCCCTTAACAGGGAGTCCGAGTTCCTGTTAAAGTTAGCTCTCACATTGATGCTCGAGGAAGCCAAAATGCCTTAGCAGGGACTTTATCTGTTCGAGAAATGTTAGCCGGCACTCGAGAAACCGGCCCCAAAAGGTTTATTTATCACTTTGCGAATACTTCTGCATCACGGAAGATCTTTGCCAAGTGAGGCTGTTAGACCATATCACTATGGACGGCAGTCCATGTAGTGACGAAGCGCACCAGGAGAGTGTGCGAAGGCGACTACTATATATACACGAAGAAATGAAAATCTGCTGTGATAGTCCGATCGTAATGAGTAATACACCAATCGAAAGGTATTGCAAAAATATAAAGGATTGCATACCAAGACTTTAAGAAAATTAATTGGATTGGGAGAGAGAGCGATAAAAGTGAAATGAGAAAATATTAGAAAGTCTATTTAATGACGAGTGTAATAATTTTTCGTCACAAATGTTGATATCAGAACTTTTGTATGTTGAAGGTGCGATCGTCACTAGTTTTTTACCTCGTTAAGAGGTGTTTTTACTTGATACATGTATTCTTATATTTATGTCTGTATATCAATGGTGCTCAAAACTGCCTTATGGCAGTGCATTTTCAAACACAATTAAAAGAAAACAAGAGAGAACGCTAAAGTCGGGTTGGTGTCCCGACTATCTAATACCCGTCACTCAGCTAAAGGGAGTGCGAACGCTGTACTCGGTTTGGTGTCCCGACTAATAATCGTAACTCAGCTAAAGGGAGTGCGAGGGAGATAGATATATAAATTTTGATTGCGTATAACTTTTTAATGAATGGTCCGATTTGAAAAATGTCTTCTACATTTCGATAGGTATAAATATACACAACAAAATTGCATTTATTTTTCTCGGAAATCTTTAAAGATGTGGGCGCAGGACCCATTTTAAAATCGTTAGTGGGCGATTGTGGGCGTTAGAGGGGGCGTGGCGCTCGGCTAAAAACTTGCGCTGCGTAGGAAGCCAAAGAATATGTGTGGGAAATCTCAACCTTCTAGCTTTTGTAGTTTCCGAGATCTCAGCGTTCATACAGACGGACGGACTGACATTGCTAGATCGACTCGGCTAGTGGCCCTGATCAAGAATATATATACTTTATGGGGTCGGAAACGCTTCCTTCTAGCTGTTACATACTTTTGCACGAATCTAATATACCCTTTTACTCTACGAGTAACGGGTATAATCACACGCACGCGAGCAGCGACTCACACACAGTCATGAAAAAGACAACAACACTTTGCATTGTGATTAGAGGAGAAAAGAGTTTAATAGAATTGTTGTTGGCTTGCCTCGATCCGGACAGCGACACAAAGAGGACTCGGCGTGTGCCATGGGCAAGCATAGCGAGTGCTGCGTATGCCCGCGTGCCATAGGACTGAGCACCCCTGCTGTATATCAATCTGCAGCTTGTCCAATTGTTTGTTTCTTTGCAAATTCGATTTTAAAGCTACTTAATAATTACAATTTAAAACCAGGACCCCGGACACTGTATTGCAAAATTCTTTTTGGAACGATGACCTTAAAATTTGGAGAATCCCAGAGATCGATTCATTTAAACTTCCCCCAGCTACTCTAAAATCTGGGCTTCATCGCATTCATAGTTCAGTGACCGATAGTACTAACTTTAAATATAATAGAGATTCGAAGGCAACTGAAATAAATGTAAGTACTAATAAGAATTATTATTCTTACTTCCTCATGATTTCTAATCACAAAACTTTTTGTTTCCTCTGTTACTACACACAAAAAAAAAAATTGGTAAAATCAACAGTAATAATTGTCAAACAGGCCCCAACCAGCAAAATTGTCAATTCTACTAAGTAAATAGTTATTTCACAACAACAAAATACATACAATTAGCAAAGACACACACCCAAAGCAAAAACAAAATACACGTAACTATTTTAATAGTTACTTAACTATCTTTGTTGGTCAATTTTACCAAGCAAATTTTTTTTGTGTGTACTCCGTTTACATCTAATAAAACTCCACGGCTTTATAGGGGCAAACAATTGGCAAAAATGACCGTAGTAAAATAAAAAGTCGCCAGTTACAATCCTATTGTCGATTTAAAAAAATGTTTTTTGAAAGTTTCTACCATTTATTAATTAGTAAACTAAATTGTTCCTATTTGATTTTCGTAAATTCTATTCATTTATTTAACTTTTCTTTTTTTAAACCACTATATTATAACTACGTAAAAATCTATTTATAAATAACTTTATTCTTCCTTTAAGGAGAAAAATGGAAACCTATCTAAAGAAAAATACAACATTAATGTACAACAAAACTATTTCGGAACCAGTCGACCCAAATATAAAGAATTCGGAGAACTTGGAATCACTTCACAACGACTTAAAGGCTTATATGATACAACTGGTAGTTAAAGTATAATTTGTGCACATTTGTGCCACAGAAAGATCTTCTTAGCTCAGATTTTATATTCAAGATATGTGTTTAATAAACTTTGTGAAATGTTTAAATTTTTTCATTAAATTTATAATGTGTTTATACCTTTTACTCTACGAGTAACGGGTATAAAAAACGCTAGTTAGGAAATGATGAGAAATTTGTTTAAAAACGGTATCAATCGAAATGAAGAAGACATTTTTCAAATCGGACCATTCATTAAAAAGTTATCCATCTCCCTCGCACTCCCCTTAGCCGAGTGACGGGTATTAGATATTCGGGACACCAACCCGACTATAGCGTTCTCTCTTGTTTTCTTTGTGAATTAGGTATTGAACAGTTTAATAAGAAACATGAAAGAAAGATAGCTTCGGCCAGCTGAAGCTTATATACCCTTGCAGATAAAATAAATACCTGTATATTAGTGCTGACTCGATCGGTGCAGTTCCAGGGATTCCACACAAAAAAAAAAAAACTTGGTAAAATCAACTGTAATAATTGTCAAACAGGCCCCAACCAGCAAAATTGTCAATTCTACTAAGTAAATAGTTATTCCACAACAACAAAATACACACAATTAGCAAAGACACACACCCAAAGCAAAAACAAAATACACGTAGTTACGTAACTATATTTGTTGGTCAATTTTACCAAGCAAATTTTGTTGTGTGCAGATATGCTATGGTTTGTGTCTTTGCTAATTGTGTGTATTTTGTTGTTGTGGAATAACTATTTACTTAGTAGAATTGACAATTTTGCTGGTTGGGGCCTGTTTGACAATTATTACAGTTGATTTTACCAAGTTTTTTTTTTGTGTGTAGAGTAAAAAGGTATATTGTATTCGTGCAAAAGTATGTAACAGCTAGAAGGAAGCGTTTCCGACCCCATAAAGTATATATATTCTTGATCAGGGTCACTAGCCGAGTCGATCTAGCCATGTCCGTCTGTCCGTCTATCTGTCTGTCTGTCTGTCCGTCTGTATGAACGCTGAGATCTCGGAAACTACAAAAGCTAGAAGGTTGAGATTTCATACACATATTCTTGGGCTTCTTACGCAGCGCAAGTTTATTTCAGCCGAGCGCCACGCCCCCTTTAACGCCCACAATCGCCCACTAACTAGAGCTGGCAAACTATCGATGGCACTATCGATAATATCGATGGTTAGCAGCCAGCTTGCTCCATCGATGTTTTGAAAACTATCACGATATTATCGCCGTCATATACACACCACTACTTTTTTTGTGTTTTCGCTACAGCTAAACGGTGAGAAAAATTTTAATATTTGTATTATAATATTTACATTAAACCTTGGTTTTCTTTAGACAGTGGAAAGTGATTTGTGGTTCTACAGCGGTACCCGTCAGGAACACCTTAATCAGTAAGGATGTTCAAGTATATTAAAGCTTTTACTTATTTTCTTTAACAAAAATTTGTGGATTTCCGATTATAATGTTTAAATTTAAGGTTAATCTCAATTATAGCGGCTGGACCGTTACTATGTTTTTATGTTTTTTGAATATTCTTTTTATTTTTATTTACTTTTAAATTGATTAAGTTTGACAAAAGAAAAACGAAATGGAAAAATAAATAACACAAAAACTATAATTCTAAATTTATTAAAATTGTGTTACGTAGGCATATTAGTGCCCTGTCCTGAGGACATGGGCCGAGGGAGATGAGTCCGATCTTTAGGCACCATTTTGCCGGCTGAGCTCGACGGATGGGGTGGGTTCTTGGTAAGCATCTCACCTCTCCCGCATAACCAGAAAGAATTATTAAAAGTGCTTGGGAAAAATAATATAGATTGTCTGTTTCGTCTCTACCATATATTTTTGTTCGAATTCATTAACAGATATTGGAAGTGAACATTTCATTAAAACATATTCGGATCGACTATTAAAATCTGAATCCTTCTCATAAGTTTTAGCAATAACTTTCGTAGTTAACATTATGTATTTTTTTGTATATGCACAAATATATATAAATAAGAAATAATATATAGAGAGTGGAACTTGGGTTCCGTAAAACTCACCCTCTAATATCTCCAGCGAAGAGAGCTCTCCTTACTGTTGTACAGGCTGTAACCCTGAAGAATTGTTAAATATATATTTGTGCATGTCTAAACTCTTTTGAGGTACCAATATGTGGTTATACTTCACTTATTACACTAAGTTATACATATGGTTGAGATTAAGTTCGCACAACAAAAATAATAATATATAATTTCGCCGATCGAGCGTTTTTCGTGGCACACGACTGTCGCGGGTAGACGGGTCTTCACTCCACTCCGATTCCACTCCACTCCAATGGATTTATACTTTGGCGCCGTTGGCGGTTTACTATTTCATGCACTTATCTTCTCGGCACACTTATACTGCAAACTGATGATTGTGTTGTACTTTTCGCAATGCTCGTATGTTCATCGCGATTCGGATTAAATGGAGCACGGCAATAAAAATGAGAATATAGAACACTTCCGCGATTTGTTGATTGTGGTCTATTATTTGTATTTGGCAATTAGGATCTATGTCCTTGGAGTTCGTTCCTCCCATGGTTTTGTTAATGTTATGGTATAATTTTTTTTTTTTTTTTTTTTTTTGATTTCACCTTATTGCTGCTAAATGGTATTTAAGCCCAGAGCGCGTTCGATATCACTGTTGTTCACTGTGTATTTCTTCCTAAAATTGCGCTTGTGCATTACATATGCATTCATAGCCACATTAAGGAGCAAAAGGACAGCAATAATGATCAGGACGTTGTATAGTTTATCAATCTGTTCTGAGTGATCGACTACTTGAACATTGTTGACAACGTTAGCTGAGTCGTTGTTGGCCTTGGAGGTCTTTCCTCCCATATTGCATATGTTTTAGCCAGGACCAACTATATATTGCTTTGTTCCTGGATCCTTTAGTCCTTTTTGGTTCACGGTTCACTTTTAGCCCGATTCTTTTTCTGCTCCTCCCTTTTCAGGTGTGGCTCTTTATAAAGGTTTTCCGGGACTAAGATCGGAAAGAGGTGAATTCCATCGTTCCTATTAAAATTCCCGTTCCATCCAGAATCCCTTCTCATCAATGCACCCAGCTTGAACTCCCCCATGGTGAAGTTAGAGTGCAACGCCGGTGCATCCACCTGCAAAGTGTCCAATTTCCTTGTGTCAGCGGTATTTAAATCAGGCCACGCAAGTGCATCCACCTGTTCACCATAGGTGTCATCTTCTTGTTTTTGCATTCGGCGCGTGCTGACGGCCACGTGAAACTTTTCTGCATGCTAAGCGTCTTCCACGGCAATTACGTAACTTAGCAGGTGGGGTTAGATATTCTTACGTAATTGACAACAGTGGTTGACACGTGACCTTATTGTTTTTGCACATGCTGTCTGCATGATCAATTACATAATTAATTGTTGTCTTCATCGGATGATGCTGTCACACTTGGTAAATGTAACAATTGTAAACTAATTTATAAAGAATGGCCTTATTGTTTTAGCTTTCTAAGAAAGGAATAGCCTCTATATGACCAAATTTGTTTAATTCGATACTATCGCGATAGTATCGATGGTTTCCGAAAAAAACCTCGAAAACATCGATACAGTCACTATCGAGGTTTTTCCAGCTCTACCACTAACGATTTTAAAATGTGTCCTGCGTCCACATCTTTAAAGATTTCCGAGAAATATAAATGCAATTTTGTTGTGTATATTTATACCTATCGAAATGTAGAAGACATTTTACAAATCGGACCATTCATTAAAAAGTTATACGCAATAAGAATTGTAGGTATATCTATCTCCCTCGCACTTCCTTTAGCTGAGTTACGTTTATTAAATAGTCGTTACACCAACCCGAGTACAGCGTTCGCACTCCCTTTAGCTGAGTGACGGGTTTTAGATTGTCGGGACACCAACCCGACTATAGCGTTCTCTCTTGTTTGAATTGTCTTTCCATGGCCGATTACGAGAAGAATAATGGATTTTTTTAGACCGTAGATGACCAAACCATAGCGTTTTTAAAGTCTAAAAGTAGGATTTCGTCTAAAGGGCCAGTCTGAAAAAATACCATTATATTTTTCTTTGTGGTTGAATTGTCAAACCTTTTGCGACTAATAAGGTGCTTTAAACAAATAAGAACAATACAAAACTTATTTTAGAGTCTTTATTACACCGTTGCCAACTAAAAATAACGCTCATATTTCTAAATGAAGACATAACTGCGTATATAAAATACACGCAAATATATACATATGGGACGCTCCATATCAACCCGGCCACCCCCCTTTTTTTTTAATTTTCTATGTGGACAGTACCACATTGATTGCAAAGCCCCTTGCTTCTAATATTTTACCTCATACCCATTTTTTCAATGTTACCACTCTTTCGCCGTATAATCACGTTAAAAAGAAAACACAAAATCATTTTTATCCTGCGAACGGAAGAAACAATTGGCATGGTTCAAAATCAAAAAAACCTGTCTTTCCAAAGCCGATTACGAGAAAAAAAATAGATTTTATTGGACCGTAGATGACCAAGCGATAGCGTTTTTAAAGTCTAAAAGTAGGATTTCGTCCAAAGGGCCAGTCTGCAAAAATACCATTATATTTTTCTCAGAAAGCCCCATATTTAACGGATTTAATGCCACTGATTTCAAAGTGGGATCTCTCTTGAGGAATTAGCTATGAATTCTTTTGTACGTTTTTGTAGTAGTTACCTGTCAGAAAAAGCTAATAAGTAATATAAAATAATCGTATATGCTTTGGAAAAAATTAACAAATCAATGAAAAGAATTCATAGCTAATTCCTCAAGAGAGATCCCACTTTGAAACCAGTGGCATAAAATCCGTTAAAACTCGGGCGTTTTGAGAAAAATATAATGGTATTTTTGCAGACTGGCCCTTTAGACGAAATCCTACTTTTAGACTTTAAAAACGCTATCGTTTGGTCATCTACGGTCTAATAAAATCCATTATTTTTCTCGTAATCGGCCATCAAAAGACAGATTTTTCTGCTTTTGAACTATGCTGATTGTGCCTTTCGTTCGCAGGTTAAAAATGATTTTGTGTTTTCTTTTCAGCGCGAATATACGGCGAAAGAGTGGTAACATTAAAAAAAATGGGTATGAGGTAAAACATTGGAAGCAAGGGGCTTTGCAATCAATGTGGTACTGTCCACATACAAAAAAAATCAAAAAAGGGGGTGGCCGGGTTGATATGGAACGTCCCATATATAAAATTGCCTTTCTAAAAATTAATGCCGGATATGATAAATTTAAAAACAATTACATATGTACTTTAAACAGCCCAAAACATTTTAAAAACGTAGTAAAAATGTCTAATTTCGTGGCAATACACCCTATTAATTTTACAGCATTCAACCTTAATGACACTGTGCAACATTTTTAGGGTTATAAAATGTAACCGCAATTCTGATTTCATGGGCAGAAAGTACTCATCGAAATAAGCCAAAACCCATTTGGGTTTCTCTGGCTTAGCTCGCGTTTACCTATTATAGCGAGTTAAAGTTTTAAATACTAAATTTATTTGTAACGGCCATATCTTGTGAACCGATTAAAATTTCACTATCAAGTCTTTAGTGATTATGTAGCTATGAACCCAAGGAACTAAATTGACAAAGGGCTCTTGCGATGGAGTGCACTTAGCGCGTTAAAAATCTAAAAATGAGCGAACATTTTCGATATTTTACCCACCTTTAAACGGCCATATTGAAAAAAAGCACAAATATGAAATTTTTTATAATATTCAAGCAGCAGGCTTACCAACAATTTTAAGTTTAAATTGAATTGCCCGCAAATTATAGTTTCTAGACTGGTGCAGTATTTTTCCAAAGGTGATATGATTTTAGAAAAGTTTCCTAACAAATATATATTTTGTTTCGTATGCGTCTATATAGTGCTTCAGACTGAACTGAAATCGCAAAAACCAGTAATCCACATAAAAAATATTCCGTTTAATGATGGGCCACTTTTTAGCCAACATTTTTTTACTCTTCTGAATTTACACTTTGGTTTATTTCTGTTGGTGCTAAAAGTATTTGCTCTGAATTTTTTTGTTTGTGTGCAAGTAATATGTTTAATGGTATGCCTGGATCGTTGTCATCGGTAGATTCCGCGGCCACGTCATATTGTGTAATTTTTTGACTCCACCAACATACTTCGGCAAGTAAGGCATCGAGTTTTTTTCTTTGGTGGAATTGCTCTTCTTGCTCGTCCGATTCTGTAGGCAATTGTTTTAAAAAGTGATCCAAGTGGTGATGTGAAAGTGAATTTTTAGCGTCTTTGATGCATTAATGTTTTTGAAGGATCCCAGCACTGATGTTATTAAATCTTGAGCCTTTTGTAGATTAACTCTATTTTTCCCAAGGTGCGAATCTGACAAAACGTTTGCGAAACTGGCTCTTCATTAATTTTCTGATGTCCGGTCCGTTAAGTACACCTATAGGGAGAAAATTAAAATTTGGAACTTCGACAAGATATATTAATTTATAAAAACCATACAGTACCGTACGTTTTTAATTTTTTCGTTGCTGAGTCTAGGAAATATGGTTTTTAAACACTCAAAGACACCATCATTGTTTTTGACAGCCACCTCAATGAATTTCTTGGCAATTCCTAATTTTATGTGAAGCGGTGGAAGTAATATATCTTCAACATTTTGTATTAAAGGCTTATTCCTCAGTTTAAGCAGCTTTTCGTTTTCGGCTGTTCTTTTTTTCCCAGTGCTTACAGGTATATTTATCCACTTTGCCTCTTGAATCCCAGTTGCATAGGAAACAGAAGTATTTCGGAAAACCGACTTTGGATATGACACCCTGCAAAATGTTTACAACTTTTAAGTCGCAACAAATCTTCCATTTGTGGACCTTGTACTTGACTTTATCCAAAATATTTTCCAAAGTTTCGTACGTCTCCTTCAAATTGGTACTCAGAGCCAGCGGAATACTAGGCTTTTTGTTCATTTTGTGCAGTAACACAGCCTTTAAACTGGATACTGAACCGTCGATGAATAATCGCCAGTCGCTAGCGATGTACTCAATTCCCATTTTTGTCACTAAGCCCTTAATGTCGTTGCAGAATGAAAAGCTATTTTCTTCGTCGACGAGGAAAAAATTCTGGAACTCAGCTTGTCGTTTCCGGTATTCTGTGGCGTTAACGTTCTGCCGAGTAAGTCCTCTGGTCTTCAAAAACGAAGTGAGCATTTCAGAGTTTCGCTGGGATAACCCACATTTCGCAACAATGTAATCCATTTCGTATTGTACCAACGGTTGTGGTTTATCACGGTCCTTCTCTTCATCAGGCAACCAGTCGGTATCTTCAAAATTAGGTCCATTGCTTGTTTGGTTAGAATAATTTTCCCAATTAGGAGCGGTTGGTGGATGAGAAGCATCTGAGTTTGCCACTGGAAGTTCAGCAGTAAGAGCTGCCTCATATTTCTTCTTTTTTATTTGTCTTTTATTGATACCAGCACTAACATTAACACATGCATAGCACCTCTCTTCACTATGTCCGTTTGGGTCTTTTTTCCAGATTATAGGCTTAACATATCGATAACGTTTTCTCCGGCCATGCAACCAATGAAACAGACTAGAATAGCAAGTACCTTATAGGGTGTTGAGTCATGGTCAATAAACTCCGCGTAAATATTAAAGTATAGCCTATATGCAAGCAGAAAATCCGGGCTATCCATATGTTTGAATTCTTTTCTTTTAGTTTGAAAGACTACATGGCCACATACGATGTTTTCTAAATTCATTCCTTAAGGAAATACGACACAGAACTGAAACCTGTAATCTCTGGACAATTTCCTTTTAAAGACATTTTATGTTGAGCTTACTATATTATATAAAATTTCATATTTGTGTTTAGATGGCTTTATTCGCGAAATATGGCCATTCAAAGGTAAAATAAAAAATGTTGGCTAAAAAGTGGCCCATCATTAAACGGAATATTTTTTGATGTGGATTACTGGTTTTTCGATTTCAGTTCAGTCTGAAGCATTATATAGACGCATACAAAACAAAATATGTATTTGTTAGGAAACTTTTCTAAAATCATATCACCTTTGAAAAAATACTGCACCAGTCTAGAAACTATAATTTGCGGGCAATTCAATTCAAACTTAAAATTGTTGGTAAGCCTGCTGCTTGAATATTATAAAAAATTTCATATTTGTGCTTAGATGGCTTTAATTCGCGAAATATGGCCGTTTAAAGGTGGGTAAAATATCGAAAATGTTCGCTCATTTTTAGATTTTTAGCGCGCTAAGTGCACTCCATCGCAAGAGCCCTTTGTCAATTTAGTTCCTTGGGTTCATAGCTACATAATCACTAAAGACTTGATAGTGAAATTTTAATCGGTTCACAAGATATGGCCGTTACAAATAAATTTAGTATTTAAAACTTTAACTCGCTATAATAGGTAAACGCGAGCTAAGCCAGAGAAACCCAAATGGGTTTTAGCTTATTTCGATGAGTACTTTCTGCCCATGAAATCAGAATTGCGGTTACATTTTTCATGTTGCACTGTGCGATTAAACAAGTTAATGTTATTTGAAGTATAAAACTTAAATTTAACGTCTAAATTCTAAGTGATCTTATCCAAAGAAATGCCAAAAAAAAACATATATATTTGTCCTTTTCTAAGCCTCTAATGAATGCTCTAATGCAGCGGTCGGCAGCGTCCTATTAAATGAGCATAGGGAATTGTTCTGCTCATTCTTTGTCGGGCGGGATATGATTGTGTTTCACTCTAGTAATTAACAAGAAATTTTGCAGAGCTTCAACTAGATTTTGGAGTTTAAAAAATGTTATGTGCTTTGATAATAATAGTGGACTATTTGCTAGCAGTAAATAAATCCACACAGGGTTTTAAAAGAACATTTATGGTTGAAAAAATTGTATTTTAATTTACATGCTACATTACAAAGGTATTATTAATTTTAAATATAATAAATATCATAACATACACCCTTTTATTCCGGTTTTCAATCTCAATTAAATTTTCCGAAATCAAAAAAGATGAAATGACTTTTATTTCATTTGTACAAAAAATCTACAATCTATTAGAGGGTCTTAAAAAACATAATTATGAAAAAGGAATTAAGATTTATGTATATTTCAAACATGATCGAGGAGTTTGAGATGGGTCGATATACATTTTCAGTCTGCATACACCACAAAGGGAACATGGTTTTCTGAGACACTATCACGTAGTTCAACCTTAACATAATTTGTAGAATTATCTTCACTTTGGCTGTTTGACTCAACGTTTGGACAACTACTTTTCCGTGAAATGTTGGTATTCCTCCTTAAATGAAATTGATCTTAAAATATTTAATTTAATATCATTTAAGAACTTACTTTGCTTTCGCATGAGTCAATATGTGAGATTTTAAATTTGTGGATTGAGCAAACTTTTTATTGCAGGCATCAAACGGACAAACAAATGGCCTATCTCCAGTATGTATTCTAACATGTGTTCTGCAAATAAAAAAGGATAAGTTTAATTAAATTGTATTGTTTTTTAGTAAGTCATAGCAGGATAAAGTCACTTAATGGTAAGGGTTAATGATTGGGGTGTGGCCAACATCCTGATTAGTAAACGAACATTTCCGCTAAAAAGTCAACCAAGTCAAGAACCTTTAAACTTTGTATATACTTAACCCCGATATTATGTTCTAGTTTTATATATCGACAACTATGCAGTTTTTTAAAAGATCTTATCTTTCAAACCCCATACTTATAATTTTAGGATTTTTTTTAAGGGAGAAACCAGTCTAATAAAACATAGTCAAAAAACATTAAAGCAAACAGCTGCGGTTTTGGCATCAAAAAATCAAGTAACTTTGCGATTTTTTCTATATAAACTGGTTGGATGGATTTAATTCAAACCAATTGTATATTATAAAGTGTAATTTAAATAACATCCACTAATTTTTATAGCCGATACTATAGGCTAATATATCGGTGGCAAAGCGATTGCTGGAACACTATTAAAAAAAGGAGTTTCGCGTTGACCACTGTATCTCCTCCAAAAATTATTGGATTTCCATTTTGCATTTACATTTTGCTTAAGAAAAGAAAAAATTTTTAATTTATTTGTAAAGAATTTTTTTTGCCCTTCCAAAGTCAAAAATGCGTTTTTCACCTTAAAAAATTCGACTTTGGGCTTAAAAACCATACTTAAAGTTAAAAAATAAAAAAAAGCGCTTCCCAGAGGGCGGGTGTTTTTTTTTGTGCAAAAAAATATGCGACAAATTTGAAAACGATCGGTTGAGCCGTTTAGAAATGCCGATGACCACGGACTTTCCAAACGTGGTTTCGAGAAAAACGCACTTAAGGATGCACTTATGTACCTAAAGTTTAAGAGGTTGGGGTACTAATTTTGTATTATTAAAAAAAAAAAATTTAAATAAATAGAAACGCTGAATCTGGAATCCCTGGAACTGCACCGAGTGAGCATTCTTTTATCTACAAGGGTATATAAGCTTCGGCTGGCCGAAGGTAGCTTCCTTTTTTTTGTATTATTTTTCTGTAGGTTGGGACGGTCTGTAAGTTGAGACACTCAATTTTCTCAAAACTTTTCCACTAAAAAATTTTTTATTTTTTTTGTAGTCCTTTTTAGTGACAAAACTTTTGGGGAAAACATTATAAGCCAGGCTCTAGCCAGATTTAAGCTGTGAGAGTCGTGTACCATTTTTCACCAAAAAAGTTTTTGTCCACTTTTTTCAAAATTCAATTAAAAATTAATAACGTGCTAAAATAAACTTGGTAAGAGAATTAAAACATGAGTAATTTAACTGTTAACAAATTAAAAAAAGAATCAGCTTAATGTGACAGTCAGAAAAAAAGTTATTATTTTTTTCCCGAAACATTTGTGTAAGTTGAGACACTTTGAGCGTGTAAGTTGAGACACCCGTTTTTTATATAATAAGGCCTTAGCCCGACAGAGATCGCTTTCTGCCTAGTACATTTCTTTGATATTAGGGGAAAAGTGAATGTTCAATGAGCCTTTTGGTTTTAATTGTTATTTGGTCTAAGTTTTTAAAAAATGGATGGAAAATAATTGAATAATTTAAAGTTTGGAGTACTTTTGGTGTGTGTATTATTGACTTATAAAAGTGTCCCAACTTACAGACCTCTTTTTCAAAATGTCGTTTTTTGACACTTTTCAAAAAAAATTATTTTTTAGTTTTCCCTAACGAAAAAAAAAATTTTTTTTTGCTTTTTTTAAAGCTAATAGACTAACCTTTCGATCAGTACCAAATACGTGAAGTTTCACAAGTGAATGTCGAAATGGCAGATTAAAAACAAAAGGTTTACCAACCTACAGTCCTCTCCCCTATTATCTTAAGATGTTAATCTACAAGAAAAAAAAATCGATTGTTTTTTTTTCAGAATTAAACCTAACCTTTCGATCAGTACCAAATACGTGAAGTTTTACAAGTGAATGTCGAAATGGCAGATTAAAAACAAAAGGTTTACCAACCTACAGTCCTCTCCCCTATTATCTTAAGATGTTAATCTACAAGAAAAAAAAATCGATTGTTTTTTTTTCAGAATTAAAATTACACATAGCTCTATTAATATCTGTTCAAATACTTTTTTGATAGTTGGTTAATAGAATAACAAGTGCCTAGAGCTTTTCTTTAACTCAACAACATTTAGATATTTTCTGTACTGTACCTTAAGTTAAAATCCAGTGAAAAACGTTTCCCACATCCCTCGAACGTACACTGAAATGGTTTTTCTCCTGTGTGAACCAACTGATGTCTTTTAAGCTTAGAACTTTCTACAAAAGCTTTTCCACATTCTGCACATACATGAACACGAGGACCGTGAGTGTGCAAGTGTTTGCGCATCGCCGACGAATCTCTGAAATTTTTATGGCAACCTTTATGAGGGCAAGCTATTTTTTTATCATTTGGGTAGGCCACGGTGACTTCGGAAAGATTAAAACTTAAATCAGTGCTTCCAGTTGATCCTATATTAAAAAATCAAAAATGTATATTAAAACAAAAATTAAATAACTTAACTTAACTTAACTTTTACCTGTATTGTCATGGTACGATAATTGTGATGCTGTCGATAGGCAATCAGTTTGTTGCCTTTCCTGTAAGCCAAGACCAAATGGCATTGAGCTAGTCAATGTATGCAGATCGCCAGTATTATCAGTACCTAATATTCTATGATTATCAATTGTCATGGCAGCAGTTTCGTTCACTAACTGTATACTTGTGGACTCCGAAATCAAAATTGGATCTTCAAAACTTAAGGTTGATTTAGATAGAATCTTTGTGGAAACACTATTTTCATGAGATAAAATGTCCTTCTCTTTCGTTAACTGTTCTATTATTGGAACTGAGCTTAAAGGTGGATGCATGTCAAGTGCCTGTGGCTCTTGAGTAAATACCTCTTGGTGTAATATAGATTCGACCTGCTCCAAGTCTTTGGTTCGTTGGGACGTGACTCGATCAAAATCAATGTCTTTTCCTTTAAAAAAATCCGAATCTCCAACATTTTGGTCTGACCCGGAGTATTCATCATCGGATATTCCGGATGCCCACATTGTAACACTAAACTCTCCTTCCATAGTTTTAATTTGAACTAGCTTTTGCTCCCACCGTCTTGATTTTCCAGTTGGAGCTAGTATAGTTGTATCTGAGGCAAGGAAAGGTGAATTTCTGTCGACATTACTGGACTCTCTTGTAGCTGTGCAATGGTTTGGCAGGCTATTGGTCACATCCTCTGGAATATCTAGATTTTCCCCATAACCGATATTTTTATAACAATTGATATTCATTTGATATCCAATATTGGAATTCCTTCTTCTGTAAATGATTAGCGATTAACACATGTTCCTTTTAAAAATATTTTTCAAACGTACTTACATTTTTGAGGAAAATATATTTTCAGATGCTTTTAATGCTTTTTCATGTACATTAGACTTATTTGCGTTACTACTATCTTTCGGTTCTGACTGAATAACTGATTCAAATACTTTATTTCGATGTAAGTTGACGGGATTGCTAAGGTGGCCACCATCTGTAATAAAAACTTTTTTTTATAAAGAACTTTTGAAAGCATAAATTTAAGATTATTTTCTAGCTAAGAGTAAGGAAGAGATCTATTGGGAGCAAAATACCATTACAAAAATTGATCTTTCACCTTGATAACGCCAACAAACGAAAACATAAAATTGTTCTCTTTTTGGGGAACTTTTTAAAGTGTCAATAAAGCAAAGTCAAAAAACAGTCTGTACGTTTTTATTAACTAAAAAATTAAAACAAAATTTGCCCTCAATTGTACAGCGCAAATTATTAGTAACTATTTTTTTCCCTAAATAAATTTTTTAGTCATATTATTAGATTTGATAAATGATAATTCCTCAAGAGAGATCCCACTTTGAAACCAGTGGCAAAAAATCCGTTAAGTATGGGGCTTTCTGAGAAAAATATAATGGTATTTTTGCAGACTGGCCCTTTGGACGAAATCGTACTTTTAGACTTTTAAAACGCTATCGCTTGCTCGTCTACGGTCCAATAAAATCTATTTTTTATCTCGTAATCGGCTATGGAAAGACAGATTTTTCTGCTTTTGAACCATGCCAATAGTTTCTTCCGTTCGCAGGAAAAAAATGATTGTGTTTTCTTTTCAACGCGATTATACGGCGAAAGAGTGGTAGCATTGACAAAATAGGTATGAGGTAAACTACTGTAAGCAAGTGGCTTTGCAATCAATGTGGTACTGTCCACATACAAAAAAAAGAAAAACAAGAAAGGAAGCTAGCTTCGGCCAGCCGAAGCTTATATACCCTTGCAGATCATTCCTATTAATTAACAAATCGCAAAAATGTTAATTTTCTAATATTTCTCATTAATTTTCCGATCGTTCCTATGGCAGCTATATGATATAGTCGTCCGATTTTGATCAAATTAAAATTGAAATTCGGAAATATTTAAAAAGAGTCATATCCTAGAGTAGAAGATAATACAATAAAAATCAAAGAAGCTAGAATTTATTTCCTATTACTTTTCCATTAATTTTCCGATCGTTCCTATGGCAGCTATATGATATAGTAGTCCGATTTTTTAAATAATTAATTCGAAATTCAGAAATATTTAAAAAATAACATCCCCAAAAGTAGAAGGTAATATTTCAAAAAACACCGAAGCTAGAATTTTTTAAAGTTTTTTTCTTCCGATCCTTCCTATGGGAGCTATAAGATATAGTTGTCCGATCCGGTCGGCTCCGACATATATACTACCTGCAATAGAAAGAAGACTTTTGCGAAAGTTTCGTCCCGATAGCTCAAAAACTGAGAGACTAGTTTGCGTAGAAACAGACAGACGGACAGACGGACAGACGGACAGACAGACAGACGGACAGACGGACGGACAGACGGACAGACGGACATGGCTAGATCGACTCGTCTTGTGATGCTGATCAAGAATATATATACTTTATGGGGTCGGAAACGTCTCCTTCACTGCGTTGCAAACTTCTGACTGAAATCATAATACCCTCTGCAAGGGTATAAAAAAGTGGGGTGGCCAGGTTGACATGGAACGTCCCATGTATATGTTAAAGTAGTCCGATTTTGGATTATAAAAATCTAAACCGCTGCTCCGATCAAAAATAGATTTTAGGATCAACTGATAGTTCTATGGCAGAAATACTTTAGTTTTGTTTTTAAAATTTGTATAATTATACCCTTGCAGAGGGTATTATGTTTTAGTCAGAAGATTGCAACGCAGTGAAGGAGACGTTTCCGTGTATCCCATAAAGTATATAAATTCTTGATCAGCATCACTAGACGAGTCGATCTAGCCATGTCCGTCCGTCTGTTTCTACGCAAACTAGTCTAATGGACTACAACTTTCCCAAAAGTCTTCTTTCTTTTGTAGGTAGTATATATGTCGGAACGAGCCGGATCGGACAACTATATCATATAGCTCCCATAGGTATAAACGCCGAAAAAAAATGCAAAAAAATGATATCTTGAATATTGAATTCTGAATTTCGAATTAATTTATTTCAAAATCAGACAACTATATCATATAGCTGCCATAGGAAAGATCGGAAAACTAATGGGAATATAATAGGAAATAAATTATTGCTTCATTGGTTTTTATTGTATTCTCTTCTACTCTAGGATATGACTCTTTTTAAATATTTCCTAATTTCATTTTAATTTTATCAACATTGAACTACTATATCATATAGCTGCCATAGGAACGATCGGAAGAAACAACAAAATATTTGTTTTCCTTAGTGAAAACTAAAAAATAACTATTTTTAAAAAGTACCGAAAAATAACATTTTGAAAAAGAGGTCCGTAAGTTGGGACACCTTTAAAAGTCAATAAAACTCACACTAAATATACTTCAAACTTTTAAAAACTATTTATTGATGTTCATTTAATAAATTTTAGTTCGTTTTAATTTAATTCCCGTCCATTTTTAATTGACTTAGACCAAATAGCAGTTAAAACAAAATCCTAAATACAGATTACTTTTGATTTTTATCATAAAAATCCTGATATATAAGTTTATTTTATTTTTAGAACCTGGAGGAAAAAGTTTTGTAGCTCAAATCCTTCTTGGCGATTGTTATTTTTCAATAACGATTATTTTCGATCCCTGCTTGAAACTGTTTGGTTGATCCCAACTTTCTATCTTTTGTAGTTTTCGAGATTTCAGCGTACATACAAAAAGGTAGACAAACGGACATGTTTAGTTCGACTCGGCTAGGATCCTGATTAGAATATACACTAGTCGGCATAATTATTTTGACAGATTTGAATGTTAACTGTAGTCACATTTTGAACTTATAATATAAACTTTTGGCACCTATAGAAAGAGCACTTCAATTCCGTTTAAATGACACAAAAATGTTCTTAACCCATTAAGACCCCTTTGAAAATTTTCAACTTTTTTCCTGGGGCTTAAAACTAAAATGTTTTGATGCAAAGTTGTTCCCCAATAAAAATTAATAACTGCAAAAAAAAAATTTCCAAATATTTTTCCTTCTATTTTTTATGATTTTTTTACTTGGAGACATCTCAGTAAAATTTTGTATGAAAAGGAAGAAAAAGCGGCTAAAATTGTCATTTTTAGCTATTTTCAAAAAATCATATAAAATACAAGGAAAAATATTTTGAGATTTTTTTTGCAGTTATTATTAATTTTGATTGGGGAAAAACTTTGCATCAAAACATTTTGTTTTTAAGCCCCAGGAAAAAAGTGGAAAATTTGACCTTCACAAAAAATGTTCTAATTTGCTCACTTTTCAAAGGGTGCTTAATGGGTTAAGAACATTTTTGTGTCATTTAAACGGAATTGAATTGCTCTTTCTATAGGTGCCAAAATGTTTCTATTATAAGTTCACAATATGAGAAGATTTAACTTTAAAATTTGTCAAAATAATTATGCCGACTAGTGTATGTATAACTTTTATAGTGACGGAAAAGCTTTCTTGTCCCTGTTACATACTTTCCGACATACGAACGACGAACGAAATGCCATCGGGTGGCATTTGCGTGGTATTTTCATGTTTTTGGCTCCTTAATCGAAGTTTTATATAAACTTGATGCTTGGAAAATGTAATTTTAAAGTTTAAAAATTTTAGAATAAAATAAAGGGCTATACAATAATACAAGATTATTTTTTACAAGATCGCAAATAAATTTAGCTCGTCAACGGTATTAAAATAGACAGTCAGACGGACATGGCTATATCAACTCGCCTACTGATCAAGAATACATATATACTTTAAACTATACACTAGGGCTATCATTTCTCGTAGTACAAATGTTGTAGGTATTGCATTTTTTTTAAACTGCATCAAATAAGCTTTGTATAATATATGGGCACTTCCAAAAAAAAGTCCACCAAGCCAAAAACCTTGAAACTTGAATAAAACATATTTCCACATGATTTTGCGCCGATATTAGTTTCTAATTAGTTGGATACTGAGCTTAACTACAAATTTGGAGTATAGTTTGATTATTTTTATGACAAACCCCCCCAATATACGCAAAAATCAGTTTTTGGCTATTTTTTTGTTATTTTTTGGACCTGTCTTCTGTTGTTAATTTATCCTATAGGAATGCTAATATGTGACATTTTTCTGTACTGAATGTTTCATTCACATACTAAACTATTAAGTTAAAAGCAAAACATCCAGCAATTGAGAGATAGAGGTAAAGAAATCCGCTTTACAAAACAGTCGGAAAAAATGTCCCAAGCGACATGTCCCGAGCGACATGTCCCGAGCGAATGTGGTTGAAACTGCATAAAAAAACAAGAGAGAACGCTTTAGTCGAGTGCCTCGACTATTAGATACCCGTTACTCAGCTAAACAACTTAATAGAAATATACCTTCTTATATGTTTTTCGCCGCTCGATTTTTACCCAGGGATCTCTTTCTAGAAGAGGCTTTCTAGAACTTTCAATTCTGCCTAGCACATCTTCCGTCTCTCTCTAGCGCAGGTGAATGCACTTGTGAAAAACGTATACGAGAAAAAGAGACAAAATGCGCGCCGCATTTCAAATAATTTAAAATTTGCATTAACATAATGTGAATTAGAGTGACCACAGAAAAAAAGGCAGATTTTTTCCAATGCCATTTCCTAGATGGCGCTAGTGTATATTGTATTGCGCCATCTACCGCCAGATATTGGTACTACTGGTTATGAAAGGCGGAAATGTAGGCGCTGGCCAGGTTTAAGCGTTTATTGGGTTTGTGGGCGTTAGAGTGGGCGTGGCAATTTTTTACTTGGCCAATCGATAGGTATTGACGAAGCGAATACATATCAGTTACTATTTTCATAATAGCTTCAAAACTGTGGGCGTTAGAGGGGGCTTGTGGGCGTTAGAGAGGGCGTGGCACCCTTTTGAAACAAACTTGCGCTGCGTAGGAGCTCCTAGAATCTGCATGCAAAATGCCAATCTTCTAGCTTTTATAGTTTCCGAGATCTCAGCGTTCGTACGGACAGACAGACAGATAGACAGACAGACAGACAGACAGACAGGCAGACGGACAGACAGACGGACAGACGGACATGGCTAGATCGACTCGGCTAGTGATCCTGATCAAGAATATATATACTTTATGGGGTCGGAAACGCTTCCTTCTAGCTGTTACATACTTTTGCACGAATACAATATACCCTTTTACTCTACGAGTAACGGGTATAAAAACGTCAAAGAATTTTTGAGTAAAACCAAAAGCATTTCACAGCGACATGTTAGAACAACATTCTAAAAAAAATCGCATTCAAATATTCCATCAGAATTCGCTAATTTCTGGTGTTGTATGAACTTCCCCGAAATCCACTTCCATTTTTGTCCCGAGCGAATACGGCAGTTTTTTACCGATATCTTAAAAACTGAAAGTGGTACAAAATCAAGATTTTTACCAAAAATTGAGCTTGGGAAGAGTGAAAAGAAAATCCCATAATTAAAATTAAAATCCATTGTTTTACAATTTTTTTTCAACTTTAAAGGTGTGCAAATGTCCCGAGCGACATTTTGGAAGTGGCCATATATAATAATATATTGTATAAAAAGACCCGTGCAGACTAGACTCCCCAATCAAGGCCAGAGTAGTGCGGCATCTTCATCTTCATCTTCTACCCTATCTTCGTCTTCAAAAAACTAAAAACTAGCTTAATTCTTTCCTATCAGAATACGAGAGGCTTGCGCAGTAAGCTATCTAAATTGTATTCGGATAGTCTTTCTTTTGCTTCCTATATTATTGTATTTACAGAGACCTGGCTAAAAGAGGAGATCTAAAACTCCGAAATTTTTCCTGGTAAGTACACCACCTATAGGCATGACCGTCCATCAGAACGAGGCGGTGGTGTTTTAATTGCCGTGAACTCAACTCTCACGTCAGAAGTGGTCACATTTGAAGAATTCTATAATATAGAGTTCATATGTGTAAGGCTGTCGTTTCCCGGTAGTTTTATATATATCACCTGCTCGTATATAGAGAGATAGAGACCAACTTTTAGTTCTAGGAGATTTTAATATCCCGGGAACATCGTGGTCAACAGATGAACAATCAAATGTTTTACTTCCACTAGCCCAGCATGACTTTATTGAAGGCTTGCTAGATTTATCATTGTCTCAAATTAACAATATTAAAAATTCACTAGGTCGTTTATTGGACCTATGTTTCGTTTCAAATCCGGACCGCGTATTTCTATCCAAGATAGCACCTCTTTCTATGTGGAAAGAATCGTTTGTGATTCCCCTCCACAAGAAAGGTAATAAATTGGAAGCAAACAATTATAGAGGCATATCTAAATTGTCAGCTATCCCGAGGCTTTTTGAAAATATTATTACACCTCATTTGCAGCACCTATGTAGGTCAGTTATATCTCCATGTCAACATGGCTTTATGAAACGTAGATCAACAATTACTAACCTTTTGGAGCTCACTTCATTTGTGATAAAGAGATTCAAAAACAATTTTCAAACAGACGTCATCTACACTGACTTTAGTAAAGCATTTGACTCCGTAAACCACCTACTTCTGGTTAGAAAACTCGATTTAATTGGGTTCCCAGTTGATCTTTTGAGATGAATCTTAAATTATTTAAAAGGCAGAACGCAAAGGGTACTTTTTAAAAATTCTCTTTCTTGTACACTCCAGGTTACCTCGGTTTCCCACAAGGGAGTCACTTGGGGCCGCTACTTTTTACTTTATTCATAAACGACCTTCCATTAGTTATAAGTCATTCTCGTGTACTTATGTACGCTGATAATGTGAAATTATGCCTGCAGTACAAGGATACTTTTTGCCAGTCTGATTTACAATCCGATTTAAATAGTTTCCAAACATGGTGCTCCGACAGTTCGCTGAATTTAAATGGCTCTAAGTGTAAGGTGATGACTTTTTGTCGTGTTACTCCTCAATATGCGATTTACACGCTGAGTAAGAGCACTCTGGACAGATTAGACCTAGTCAATGATCTTGGTGTTCTTTTGGACCCAAGACTAAAGTTCACTGATCACATTTCATCCATGGTAAATAAAGCTTGCGGTGCGCTTGGCTTTATTAAAAGGTGGTCTAAGGAATTTGATGATCCTTATATTACTAAGACCTTATTCATCTCGCTCGTCCGGCCGATACTTGAGTATGGATCACCCGTCTGGAGTCCCCAATACGGAATTCATATTGACCGTATCGAATCCGTACAAAAGAACTTTTTACTTTTTGCGTTAAGGCGCCTAAACTGGGATGCAAACTGCATTTTACCTTCTTATTCTAGTAGATTACTCCTAATTAACTTACCCTCCCTAACCAACCGTAAAACGATGCTTGGAACTGTCTTCATTTATAAGCTTATTCGAGGTGAAATTGATAGCCCCGACTTGGTTGGACGACTTAACTTTTTTGTTCCAAGTAGATTAACTAGAAATTACATTCCCTTAATTTTAAACCACTATGACATGCATGAACCTTTCAGAGTACTATGTTCTGACTATAATAGACTTTATCCTATTATATCAAATTCTGACTCTCTGCCTCTCCTAAAACGATTAATATTAAATTTCCTAGCACAGAATTAGATCCTACTTTTTTTTCCTCGAACTATATTTTTATTTTCTAAATCGCGTCTATCATCTCGCGAATCGTGCCGTACGATACACGGCAGCGCCCCTCGGTCGGTTGGGCGGGAGGTGTGGCCGTGGGACTCCGCGCGAAAAAAAAATCAGTTGTTTTGTTTAACCCAGTGTTAAACAGGATTCGAATGTCACTTATTATGTAAGAGATCTTGTGCTAAAAAATAGTATCTTTCATTTGATGCCTTAATCATTCATAATTTATTCAAAGGTATAAGTATACACGTCTTAAGTTTAGATATGAACTACAGTGACGGACAAAAGTCTACAGACGACTCCTTTTTGGGAGTTCACCCACTCCTATTGCTTATACGGGAAAAGTAATGATGTAGTTATGTTTTTAATGTTATTAATATACAAAAACCGAAATTTTATTGTATAAAAACTTTACAGTTGAAGCATCGGGAGTAGGAAATTTTGTCATCGTCGAGGGTATTATGGTTCGTTCTCAGTATAAGACCATATTTTAACATAATTTTAAGGCTTACATATGTGGACAAATAACGCCTCGGAACCATCTCGATCCACAAACAGGATAATGATCCTAAGCATACGGCATCCTGAAGAATTGGCTACTGTTTTATGCTTCCCGGCAATTGTTTTCACCACCATAAGTCCTGGGCATACAAATTATAAAGCAGGTTTGGGTAATTTTGGAGCGAAAATTTTGAAAGTTCTATGTAAAAATCGTCCGTAGACTTTTGTCAATGCCATTATTAATTTTTTCGTGTTTAACTTTTAAAGTTTTTTATGAATAAGAATAACATTTCGGTTTTTGTATATTACTAACATTCAAAACAAAACTGCATCATTACTTTTCCTGTAAAATCAATAGAAGTGTGTGAACTCCCAAAAAGGGGGTCGTCCGTATACTTTAGTCCGCCACTGTATCTATGAGTACACGTTAAAATCTGTTGCGCTGTTCATCCTGATTAGGGATGTCGAAAATATATCAAAATATCAATATATCGATATTTTTTACGAAAAAATAAATATTTTTATCGTGATATTTTTTTTGAATAATTATCATATATCATCGATTTTTTTTCACATTTTTTTTTGATAATTTTAAGTGGTCTCACTTTTCATCGGGACAAGAAAAAATACATATGTGAAAGATGAGCGCCGCTAAAATTTATTTTTCGGCAAGTGAAAATGCATAGCATAGCATTCAGAATTCAAGAAAACGCGCTAAAAAAAATGCGCGGGAAATACTTGACTTGAATATTATAAATAAAAACAAAAGAAAGCAAAAATAAATATTGTTTTCTTTCATTTATTAATAAATATAAACTAAAAATTATAAAAATATAATTTAAGATCGTATGTGGGTTAATGTTTAGTGGTTAATGCTTATGCAGCTTAAAATTAAAAAAAAATAATAAAACAAAAATATCAAAAATATCTGATATATAGATATTTTTTTTCTGATATATCAAATATCATTTTGATTTTTTGTTTAAATAAAAAATATCATCGATACGATATTTTTAAATATTTCGACATCCCTAATCCTGATCAAAAGGGTGGCACGGATATCGCTAATCGCTGAATTCGGGCGCAATTTGTACCTGCATCAATATACTTACATACATTCGATGTCAACCCATATGCATCTTTCTTTATGGGATCTACTCGTGTTAAAAATCTATATTGTATTTATTAGATTGACTTTTTGGAAAATATTAATATAAAGTAACTTTTATAAAGATTACGTACATATATTCATATGAACATACATACGTATGTATGCATATTTAAAAGAATTTCAATGTCTTGTATTTCCTGCGGATTTGATATATTTATGTATATTTCTCTGCTAGTAAAAGCCAAACTCACCGTTGCTGACACTTTGCACATTTGATTTTTGAATACCTTTTGCGTTGACTATATCTTCTTCGTATTGCTCATTTTGAAGAAGTATGCCATAACGTTCGTATGCCATATTTACAATGTTTTGATCCATCGAAAGGTTTAGTTTACATTTACAGGTAGTATAAAAGCATTTCATATGCTTGCATAAATGCAGGCACATGTGTTACGTTTATTTTGTTTATTTCACGAGCGTTGTATTCCCTGAGTCTATTTATTGGATCTGAAAAGACAGAAATTTGTGTCCATGAAAATAACGCTGAGGCTTAGGAAGTACTTATGTACGTACGTACATATGTAAGTGCATAAACTTAACGAGTACGCAGGTATACATATGTATGCTCATAGCATGCTCTTCGAGCAAGACAAATCAAAACTGTAAGTACGAAATTACTTTGTGTTTACTTACCTAGGATTTATATTTTTCAAATGAAACTAGAGAACACAGCAACTAGCATTAAAGATAGGTTGCCGAACATCAAGTTAAGGAAATTCACCTTATTCATATGTACAAATCTGTTTTAAATTTCGTAAATTATTTGTGAACTGTCCAATAAATGAAATGTTTATCTAGTTTTTGTACTAAAAACAAAATAAAACCAAAAAAAATGTAAGCAATTTTTATAAAACCGATAACAGATGCCGTAAAATATTGATAATGGTATTCAGGTTGTTTGGAATGGGTATTCGATTCACAAAAATCCGTATTTCTACAAAATACTAAGCTTTAGTATTTTCATGAAACTAATGCCGTTTCCTCACTGATGTACATACTGTAGTATTTTTTCGGTATTCAAAAAAATGCTATTTCCTGTCCGCACGGGAAAGCATTTAGCATTCAGCATTTATTATTTCGAAAACAGATGTGCTTTGTATTTAAATTCAAAATATTCAATGCTAACAAAAATGATCTTATTTTTGTCCTGTGTTTTCTGCTGAAAATTCAGAAACAGCTAGAGAAACAGCGCAAGCACGGAAACACAAAGGAATGCGTTGAAAGCTTTTCATGAGGAAGACATATTTCAAAACCTAAGATATGGGCATAATTTCTCAAATACTAAGCCGCAAGCAGGTTATTTAAACAATCAAATGTATTGACCATGGACAAAAAAGATTTGAATGTTTTATTAAGCTTTTGTTTGCATTATATATGCATACATTAGATGTTGATTTTGCAATCCTTCGGTGGTCTTATCGATATGGTGATTTGTTGCCTCTTACTTCCTGTGACAAACCTGAAGCCTAGTACTCAGTACGACGAAAACTGCTAGCTAAGCATAGGAGTAAGCGAGAGGCAAATAGGTAGCTAAAGCCTTTAGCCGGGGACTTTTTTCACCGCGGTACTCAGTTGAGCTAAGGAAATGGTAAGGAAATACCAAAAAAATACTAGATTTAGCGGATGAATTCCGATGAACGCCTTTAGCCGCGGCCCAAAGAATAAAAAATTTGATCTTTGGCTGTGTTTGTGCAGAAGCGGTTTGCCAATAACAATGTATAAATGGAAGGAAAACCACAAAAAACCATTGGAAAACTGCCTGTAGGAGTTGCTGCAATACATATCGCCATTCCAACAGGGAATTTAAAGCTTGCGACCCAGGTCGGCTCAACGTTTTGTAATATTTTAAAATTGGCGCCAGTTGATTTGTTTGTTGAGAGTAAGACCATGCTACATGCATTGCGGATGAACTCCGAAAACTTCGGTCACACTAAATGATTAATATTTTTCGACTAGTGAAACTCTTAGCCGAACTGAGTACTAGGCTTGAGCGGCAAAAGATTGGTTAGGTTTTGTTAACTGCAGTTACTCGTAATTTTTTTTTCTGCAGAGAAATCATCTATAGTGGGCCTTGATAATTTCGAAAATTTTGCGATGGCCGTTTTGTCGATAGTCAAAAAATACTCAGATATTTGGTATTTTAGGCACGAAAATATCAAAATGTAATAGCATTTATTGTCGAATGCTCTTTTCTCCCACCTCTAGAACCACTTGAAAATATAGCCTAGTACTCAGTACGACGAAAACTGCTAGCTAAGCATAGGAGTAAGCGAGAGGCAAATAGGTAGCTAACGCCTTTAGCCGGGGACTTTTTCCACCTCGGTACTCAGTTGAGCTAAGAAAACAGTGAGGAAATACCAAAAAAATACTATATTTAGCGGATGAATTCCGATGAACGCCTTTAGCCGCGGCCCAAAGAATAAAAAATTTGATCTTTGGCTGTGTTTGTGCAGAAGCGGTTTGCCAATAACAATGTATAAATGGAAGGAAAACCACAAAAACCAATGGAAAGCTGCCTGTAGAAGTTGCTGCAATACATATTGCCATTCCAACAGGGAATTTAAAGCTTGCGACCCAGGTCGGCTCAACGTTTTGTAATATTTTAAAATTGGCGCCAGTTGATTTGTTTGCTGAGAGTAAGACCATGCTACATGCATTGCGGATGAACTCGGAAAACTTCGGTCACACTAAATGATTAATATTTTTCGACTAGTGAAACTCTTAGCCGAACTGAGTACTAGGCTTATATGGGAAAAATGTAACATATACCAAAAAATGTCAAAATGCTACATTCAGCTCTGGTGAGGAAAGGGCATAAGAAAATGACTAGTTCTCACAAACTCAAAACACATCACAATTTTTAAAGTAAAGTCTAGTACTTAGTACGACGAAAACTGCTAGCTAAGCATAGGAGTAAGCGAGAGGCAAAACGGTAGCTAAAGCCTTTAGCCGGGAACTTTTTTCACCGCGGTACTCAGATAAGCTAACGAAATGGTACGGAAATACCGAAAAAATACCAGATTTAGCGGATGAACTCCGATGAACGCTTTTAGCCGCGGGCCAAAGAATAAAGCCTAGTACTTAGTTCAGCTAAGAGTTTTACTAGTCGAAAAATATTAATCTTTTAGTGAGACCGAAATTTTCGGAGTTCATCCGCAATGCATGTAGCATGGTCTTACTCTCAACAAACAAATCAACTGGCGCCAATTTTAAAATATTACAATACGTTGAGCCGACCTGGGTCGCAAGCTCTCAATTCGCTGTTGGAATGGCGATATGTATTGCAGCAGCTCCTACAGGCATTGGCCATTGGTTTTTCTGGTTTTCCTTCCATTTATAAATTGTTATTGGCTCATCGCTTCTGCACATAAAGAGCCAAAGATTAAATTTTTTATTCTTTGGGCCGCGGCTAAAGGCGTTCATCGGAATTCATCCGCTAAATCTAGTATTTTTGTGGTATTTTCTTACTATTTCCTTAGCTCAACTGAGTACCGAGGTGGGAAAAAGTCCCCGGCTAAAGGCGTTAGCTACCTATTTGCCTCTCGCTTACTCCTATGCTTAGCTAGCAGTTTTCGTCGTACTGAGTACTAGGCTTAAAAAATGTAAAGCCTAGTACTCAGTTCGGCTAAGAGTTTTACTAGTCGAAAAATATTAATCTTTTAGTGTGACCGAAGTTTTCGGAGTTTATCCGCAATGCATGTAGCATGGTCTTACTCTCAGCAAACAAATCAACTGGCGCCAATTTTAAAATATTAATTCTTTTATTAATTCGCTGTTGGAATGGCGATATGTATTGCAGCAACTCCTACAGGCAGTTTTCAAACTTCAGAAAACTTCAAAAACCAATGGAAAACTGCCTGTAGGATTTGCGGCAATACATATCGCCATGCCAACAGCAAATTTAAAGATTGCGGCCCAGGTCGGCTCAACATTATGTAATATTTTATAATTGGCGCCAGTTGATTTGTTTGTTATTTGTGAACCCAGCTGGTTTACAATAAGACCATGCTACATGCAAGCGGGTGAACTCTGAAAACTTCGGTGACACTACAAAAGAATACTATTTTTCGACTAGTGAAACTCTTAGCCGAACTGAGTACTAGGCTTTAAGCCAAAATGTTGAGCCGTCCTGGGCCGCTTCTGCACAAGCACAGCCAAAGATTAAATTTTTTATTCTTTGGGCCGCGGCTAAAGGCGTTTATCGGAGATCATCCGCTAAATCTAGTATTTTTGTGTTATTTTCTTATTATTTCCTTAGCTCAACTGAGTACCGAGGTGGGAAAAAGTCCCCGGGTAAAGACGTCGGCTACCTATTTGCCTCTCACTTACTCCTATGCTTATCTAGCAGCTTTCGTCGTACTGAGTACTAGGCTTAAGAATTCTAATATATTATGAGCATTTGCCTTTTCGAAACTTTCCCCGACTTACTAACGCTGCTGTGATGTTTAGCGATGTTAGCTGTTTAAATCGAAACCGAAGAAAAGACGTGCAAATTGTGTTTTCCCGTAAATAAGATTAGAAAGCAAAACTAAATACAGTTTCGACACTAGCACGATTTTTGTTATGCGCTGCAAATGATTTCTCAAATGATGTGTGATAAAAACTTGTGCAGGTCAACAATCTCCTAGGAAAAGGGAGGCACCCTTCTACATTTTGTCAATTTAATTGCGATTGTACTCTTTAAAGAATTTATAACTCCTTCGTCGCATTGGATTCTTTGATTTGGCCAGTTTTGGGAAATGAATGTGCCTGTAGAAAGCTTTTTATATTGAATTATTTAGGAATCAGTAGAAATCCGTTTATTTGCGTTTGGTGGAACAGTCGAATCGATGTATAATATTGATATACCACATTTATTTTCTTATGTGGTCCCAGATTCCGCTGAAGCGAAGTTGTAGCATCTCTTCGACGTTTTTTTCTAGCACTCATACTTTTTATATGAGGTCGCTGTAGCGGAATTTGGTCGCTGTTGCAGAAACATCCTCCTTGTGTACACGGTATTAGTTCGCACCTTTTTATGCAATTGACAATTCTAAGCAACATTACCAAAAAAAAAATGCAATGGAAACCACTTTTGACCCTCCGCATTTGCAAGAGAAAAATACTGGTTTTTCATTAAAAATATCTTAGTAGCCTTGACTTTGGAACATTTGTATGTACGCAGAAAACGATATAAATCGTTTGGGCGGAACATATTCAATGGATTATTAAGGGTTAAGGGTCTGTCCATATATTACGTAATCATCTAATGGGGGGGGAGGGGGTCAACCAAATGATTACTCCAGTGCAAAAAATTTTTTTTTTTTGATGAAGAAATGATTACAAGGGGGGGAGGGGGTCAAAAATCACTAAAATTGTGATTATGTAATATATGGACAGCCCCTAAGACATATTGGCCAAGAAACTATATGCCTTAAACCACGTTTGATCCTCCGCATTTTCAAAAGGAAAATATTGGTATTTCACTTTATTTTTAAGAAATATATCATAGTAGCCGTTACTAATATACAAAATAACAGTATTGAAAAAATGCTTTAAAGAGAACAAAACATTTTTAACAAAGGGGAGAATTTAAAATTTACAAATATTTCACGGCTACTATGCTATTTATCTCAATAGTAAAACGAAATACCACTATTTTTCTCTTGCAAACGTGGTTTATGGCATATACACACCTGATCATATTAATAGGTACACACGTTACATCCTCACTTGCTAAGAGATATCTCTAAAGTTAATGAGGCCAGACCTCCCAAACCTTTTTATTTTGAAAGGGTATTCTGTTCTGCAATATTTTAATAAACAATGGATACAGTAAAACCCGTCTATTCCATGTTAGCCATACATTTGTGCGAAAGGTCGGTTTAGGTGTGGTCAAAATAATAAGTACACTTGTGTAACTTATAATTTTTTAAAATATTAAAACTAGAATGGGGCTACGGTTAGTATTTTATCTCAAGTTAGGATCATGTTTATAAGAAGTCTGGGCCAATTGGACGATCCAAAAAGTTTCCAAGCCTGGATTTGGTTACTTCAAAGCCATTATCCATGTTAAAATCTGATTTGCAGCTTAAAAGGAACTTTAACACTTAAGTATGTCTTGTAATTTCCTAAATTTTCTTTAAAAATACTACTCTTAATAAATAAAATCGATTTGGAAAAAAATTAGTACTTACACCGTAAAAAATGAGGTAAATTCTTGTGAAAAACCAAAGTTACATGCGGTTTTAATTTACAAAAAAATAGTTAAAACTTAAATTCTTAATTTTTTTATTTTTTATTTGATAGTAGACGACTACTAAACTACAATGGCTAATAAAAATAGTGGTGTATATAAAAAATTAGGACCCTTCTAAGTGCGTGATTTTTATAGCCTTGCAGAGGGTATTATGATTTCAGTCAGAAGTTTGCAACGCAGTGAAGGAGACGTTTCCGACCCTATAAAGTATATATATTCTTGATCAGCATCACTAGACGAGTCGATCTAGCCATGTCCGTCTGTCCGTCTGTCTGTCCGTTTCTACGCAAACTAGTCTCTCAGTTTTAAAGCTATCGGCTTGAAACTTTCCCAAAAGTCTTCTTTCTATGGCAGGTAGTATATAAGTCGGAACCGACCGGATCGGACAACTATATCTTATAGCTCCCATAGGAAGGATCGGAAAAAAAACGCCAAAAAAAATTCTAGCTTCGGTGTTTATACCCGTTACTCGTAGAGTAAAAAGGTATATTGTATTCGTGCAAAAGTATGTAAAATGTGCCCTGCGCCCACATCTTTAAAGATTTCCGAGGAGTATAAATGCAATTTTTTTGTGTATATTTATACCTATCGAAATGTAGAAGACATTTTTCAAATCGGACCATTCATTAAAAAGTTATACGCAATCAAAATATCTATATATATCCATCTCCCTCGCACTCCCTTTAGCTGAGTTACGATTATAGTCGGGACACCAACCCGACTATAGCGTACTATCTTGTTTTTTAAATATTACCTTTTACTCTTGGTGATATTATTACTCGTAGAGTAAAAGGGTATATTGTATTCGTGCAAAAGTGTGTAACAGCTAGAAGGAAGCGTTTCCGACCCCATAAAGTATATATATTCTTGATCAGGGTCACTAGCCGAGTCGATCTAGCCATGTCCGTCTGTCTGTCCGTATGAACGCTGAGATCTCGGAAACTACAAAAGCTAGAAGGTTGAGATTTCCCACACATATTCTTGGGCTAGTGACCCTTTTACTCTACGAGTAACGGGTATAAATAGTGTCCAAAAAGTACGAAATTGAACATTTTTGCGATTTGTAAGTTAATAAAAATGATCTGCAAGGATAAGCTTCGGCTGGCCGAGAAAACCGATTTGCTTTTACGAACAGTTTATCTGGTCTTTAAGTTTTTCGGACAGATAGCTATCAGGGACTTTAACAGGGACTCGAGAAACCGGCCCTTACATGGTCATAATCAGCCGAAATAATATACTGCAACTTGATAAATAGAGGGTCTTTTTAGTTGCTTGGATTCCGCATATCTAAATACTTAAGTCTTTCATTTGTTTAAAAAGCTCTCAAATACTGTTCGAAAAAAGCTTTTACTCATTTAAAATTAACTCAACTTTGAATATTATATCTACACGCACAAAATCTGACAATGCTAAAAAACTCATAAGAAAGCAGTCTATATTGTTCGCTCTTCAACTTCTGAACGTCGATCCTTAGTACATTTACATATATGAAATATGTGATGTGCTAATTAAGAAAAAGAAAAGTAAACTTTTAAGATCTACATTTGGCTATCACAATTTCAAGCCTAATACAATTAAATCACAAAATCATTTTATTTACCTAAACTGTGTAAAAATATACAAATTGTGTGCGCATTTTGGTTCAATTGAAAACATAAAAACTATAAAAAGCAGAAAGGTATGTATGTTTCTTCAAATATTTATTTTTAATCAAGAAACTAAAAATATTTTATTTGTATTACGAGGATCATATAAAAATATATTTTCTTCTTGTAACTATAGACACTTATTTGTACTATCAGATGCTGATGATTTTGTTTCAGTCGAGTGTGTATCCATATGTACACTAAAAAATGCATGCATATGCATGAATCTACACAAAAGCTTCCTAATTATATAAACATTTTAGGTGGAGAGTATCATAAATACACGAATGTAAATACTCTCGCATTCTTACCCAACATGCTTTTTAAATTGTAGAAATTGTATTATTATTATTATGTTAATTTCATTTTATAAATATAGTGCATTCAAACTTTAGTAAAACTGCAAAGTTTTTGGTTTACAAAAAGTGAACTAAAATAATATTAAGAAGAAATATAAACAATTTAATATTTTGCTTACATACATACATTCATCTCTAGTATTATTCAGGGGCGTAGACAGGTACTTTAAGACATAACCTAAATTATTATTTTATTTAAAAAACATCCCAGAAATGAACTATTTTTTGCAATACAAGTGAAACAAAAAATTAGTGAAAAAATGTCCATTCTTTTCGTTAAATCGTTTAACTAGGTATTCAAGTCGGAAAACAAGAATGGACCAAAAGGACAACCAAAAAGACATGGATACTTTAAACTCGAATATTTTAAAGGAGCCTTCTGGAAATGGTTTGACCTCGAAAAAAAACAAGTCAAAAAGATCAAAAACGTATGAATATGATACTCAGAACATAAACATGGTAAGACAACGGTATATTTATACGTAAGGGCCTTCTTACAGCTCAAGTGAAGTCTGTATATTTTAGGACCAATATTCTTCCTTTGTAATTATAAAATAAACCTATTAGCTTTCAATCTTTATAAATTTATATATTAACTCTCACGTATTACTATAAAAGTTAGTGTTTTTAGACATTGCGAAAAAGTAATCTTATTCAGCGTTTTTAACGAAAAATATTACTTTTCAGAAAAAAACAGGAGAGAACGCTGTAGTCGAGTTGGTGTCCCGACTATCTAATACCCGTCACTCAGCCAAAGGAAGTGCGAGAGATAATAATAATGAATGGTCCGATTTGAAAAATGTGTTCTACATTTCGATAGGTATAAATATACACAACAAAATTGCATTTATAGTTCTCGGAAATCTTTAAAGGTGTGGGCGCCACCCACATTTTAAAATCCTTAGTGGGCGATTGTCAGCGTTAGAGGGGGCGTGGCGCTTGGCTGAAATTGCGCTGCGTAGGAATATGTGTGGGAAATCTCAATCTTCTGGCTTTTATAGTTTCCGAGATCTCAGCGTTCATACAGACAGACAGACATGGCTATATCGACTCGGCTAGTGACCCTAATCAAGAATATATATACTTTATAGGGTCGAAAACGCTCCCTTCTCCCTGTTACATACTTTTGCACGAATTACAGTAATTACTCATTTATTAAATAGCTTACATTTCCCCCTGACTTAATGTAGGTATTCGAAGATATTTACGAAAAATAAGTTTACCGTTATTTTTTATAATCCTGTTACATGCGTCAACTTTGACTATTTTTCCCGTAATCAAGACCCCAAATAACGTTGATATTGATAATTTGGACGAGATCGAACGTGACAGCTAAGCGGAAGTTCACCCAAAATAATACAGGACCCTAAAGGGGAGAGATACATATAGAAAAAAAAATCAATTCATTTACTTATTTACTTCATGTATAAATTTGTACGTTTGTGTATTTTTTTTAAAGCAAAAACAACAAGATAAATATGAAAAAAATAGATTTTTGACTTTGAAAGAGTGCAACAACCAGAGTTTTTGAGATGTTCTATGTAAGTTAGGCTTAGACAGTTTCTACATTATTTCTTAACAAAATACATTTGGTTTTATAAAAATCGGATCTACACAGCGACCTGTGGACGATCCACAGCTGGCCTACTTTTTATATAGCCTGACAAAAAAATTCCCACGGCCGCCATTTTAAAATATAAAAAAATACAAATTTGTTAAAATTATATAAGAACAATGTAATCAGTTAAAAAAAAATCACGATAAAATGGCAGTTGTACATGTATCTCCCCCATAAACAACGAATGAATACGCAATAATAACGGACAGAAAAAAAGTAAAATACGAATTAATTAATTATCAAATAAAAACACCTCTTAACGAGGTAAAAAACTAGTGACGATCGCACCTTCAACGTACAAAAGTTCTGATATCAACTTTTGTGACGAAAAATAATTTTAGATGCGACTAAATAAGTACGCTACCTAAAATTTACTCGTTCGGCCCGCTTTGGCAAATATTTAATATCTACACGAATGTTTTTCTGTTTTAGCGTGCCGAATGAATAAATTTTAGGTAGCGTACTTATTTAGTCGCATCTAAAATTATTTTTCGTCACAAAAGTTGATATCAGAACTTTTGTACGTTGAAGGTGCGATCGTCACTAGTTTTTTACCTCGTTAAGAGGTGTTTTTATTTGATATCAGAAGTTTTTGTTTGTTTACTTTTGCTCTCATAGGTGCTAATATAAACATTTAAATTTAAATTGGTCATAAATCATAATTCTTAAACTATTGTATTTTAACGAATTAAGTTAAAAAGGCGTTGAAGCATTTCAAAATACCTTTTAAACGAGGTATAGCACATGTCTGTACCTTTAGTAGTGTAGAACTTAAAAACTAACGAAATTTAGCCATTTTTAGCTATTTTCCCGCTAAAGTAGCGGCTTTTTCCAAAAGTCGTAGAACAAAAGATTCCTATATGGAACTCTTAAGTGCAAATTTACTGATTCCATGACCCTAAAATACAGTTCGGATACCCTCCCACAAAATTCAATACTCAGGGAGCGTTAATTGTTCCAGCTGGCAAAAGTGGCTATTTTCGTATAAAAATAACTTTTAAACGTGACTTTTTACAGTAATGTGTTATATACCAAAATTTAAGGAATCTCAAGGGCTATACAGTTTAAGGTTTTAAAGAAAATCGTTAGAGCCGTTTTTGAGAAAAAAAAAAAAAGCTAAAAAAAAGTTTTAAAAAATTGTCTTTTGTTCATATTTTTTTAATTATTACATTTACACAAATTGCATATAGAAGGCGTTTATAGCATTTAAAAATACCTTTCAAACGAGATGCAGCACAAGTCTGTAGCTTTAGTAGTATAGAAGTTACGGCTTTCCGATTTTTAGCTATTTATAGCTGTTTTCCCGCTAAACTAGCGAGTTTTTCCAAAAGTGGTAGAACAAAAGTTTTTTATATCGATGTGATGAACGTCATATAAAATTTTCAAAACTTAAAAAACATGTTTTGGACAAGTGGACAAGTGGACAAACAGAAATTAATTTTCATTTTGGGAAGAAGAAGAAAATCTTATTTTGGCTATAACTTTTGAACGGAGAGTCGGATTTTGACAAATGATCCCTCATTCGACGGGTATTTTCAAGAGGAATACAACTAAAACATTGCGAGGGGGCATTTATCCCCACCGGCCCCAACAGCTCCAAATTTCGAAATTTTCAATTTTTTACTTTCACCGCTCTCTCTCCCAAGCCAATTGATTTTCTTAAAGTCTTGGTATGCAATCCTTTAAGTTTTTGCAATACCTTTCGATTGGTGTATTACTCATTACGATCGGACTATCACTGCCGATTTTCAATTTTGCGGCTATATAATAGTAGTCGCCTTCGCACACTCTCCTGGTGCGCTTCGTCACTACATGGACTGCCGTCCATAGTGATAATAAATAAGGGGGCATTCACGGTATAACACGCGTATTTTTAGAAAGACTATAACCATGCTAAAAAAAACTGGGGCTTCCATTTCTACCGTCCCCAGACGCTCCTATTTTCTAAATTTGAATTCCCCCGATTTTGCTTCTAAACGAATTCATTTCACACCTTTTAGTTATACGGATACATTTCGATTAATGTATAATCAAATAAAAACACCTCTTAACGAGGTAAAAAACTAGTGACGATCGCACCTTCAACGTACAAAAGTTCTGATATCAACTTTTGTGACGAAAAATAATTTTAGATGCGACTAAATAAGTACGCTACCTAAAATTTACTCGTTCGGCCCGCTTTGGCAAATATTTAATATCTACACGAATGTTTTTCTGTTTTAGCGTGCCGAATGAATAAATTTTAGGTAGCGTACTTATTTAGTCGCATCTAAAATTATTTTTCGTCACAAAAGTTGATATCAGAACTTTTGTACGTTGAAGGTGCGATCGTCACTAGTTTTTTACCTCGTTAAGAGGTGTTTTTATTTGATATCAGAAGTTTTTGTTTGTTTACTTTTGCTCTCATAGGTGCTAATATAAACATTTAAATTTAAATTGGTCATAAATCATAATTCTTAAACTATTGTATTTTAACGAATTAAGTTAAAAAGGCGTTGAAGTATTTCAAAATACCTTTTAAACGAGGTATAGCACATGTCTGTACCTTTAGTAGTGTAGAACTTAAAAACTAACGAAATTTAGCCATTTTTAGCTATTTTCCCGCTAAAGTAGCGGCTTTTTCCAAAAGTCGTAGAACAAAAGATTCCTATATGGAACTCTTAAGTGCAAATTTACTGATTCCATGACCCTAAAATACAGTTCGGATACCCTCCCACAAAATTCAATACTCAGGGAGCGTTAATTGTTCCAGCTGGCAAAAGTGGCTATTTTCGTATAAAAATAACTTTTAAACGTGACTTTTTACAGTAATGTGTTATATACCAAAATTTAAGGAATCTCAAGGGCTATACAGTTTAAGGTTTTAAAGAAAATCGTTAGAGCCGTTTTTGAGAAAAATAAAAAAAAGCTAAAAAAAAGTTTTAAAAAATTGTCTTTTGTTCATATTTTTTTAATTATTACATTTACACAAATTGCATATAGAAGGCGTTTATAGCATTTAAAAATACCTTTCAAACGAGATGCAGCACAAGTCTGTAGCTTTAGTAGTATAGAAGTTACGGCTTTCCGATTTTTAGCTATTTATAGCTGTTTTCCCGCTAAACTAGCGAGTTTTTCCAAAAGTGGTAGAACAAAAGTTTTTTATATCGATGTGATGAACGTCATATAAAATTTTCAAAACTTAAAAAACATGTTTTGGACAAGTGGACAAGTGGACAAACAGAAATTAATTTTCATTTTGGGAAGAAGAAGAAAATCTTATTTTGGCTATAACTTTTGAACGGAGAGTCGGATTTTGACAAATGATCCCTCATTCGACGGGTATTTTCAAGAGGAATACAACTAAAACATTGCGAGGGGGGCATTTATCCCCACCGGCCCCAACAGCTCCAAATTTCGAAATTTTCAATTTTTTACTTTCACCGCTCTCTCTCCCAAGCCAATTGATTTTCTTAAAGTCTTGGTATGCAATCCTTTAAGTTTTTGCAATACCTTTCGATTGGTGTATTACTCATTACGATCGGACTATCACTGCCGATTTTCAATTTTGCGGCTATATAATAGTAGTCGCCTTCGCACACTCTCCTGGTGCGCTTCGTCACTACATGGACTGCCGTCCATAGTGATATGATCGGACCATCACAACAGCATAACTCGTATAGTAAAAGGGTATATTGTATACGTGCAAAAGTATAGAACAGGTAGAAGGTAGCCATAAAGTATATATATTCTTGATCAAGATCACTACCCGAGTCGATATAGCCGTCTGTCTGTCTGTCCGAATAAACGCTGAGATCTCGGAAACTACAAAAGCTATTAAGTTGGGATTAAATACACATATTGGACTTCCTACGCAGCGCAAGTTTGTTTCCCTAATGCCCACAATCACCTTAAATGACTTTAAAAAAAGCCTGGCGGCCACAACTTTACGAATTTTGTAAAAGTGCTAAGCCATTTTGTTGTGTTTTTTAATACTTATTAAAATGTAATAAATGTAAAGTCGGACGTTGGCTCTGACTACTACCTGTCTTCATCTCCCTCGCACATATATTAATATCATAATTTTAATAATTTTTTATATAGCTGCCATACAAATCGATGGATTTTCTTATTGTTTCAGACTGTAATTTTAATTTTTCAAAGCCTACCTTCTTAACATATGATATTAAGGAGGGGGTAGGGTCTTCAAAAAAAAAATATCGATTTTTTTTAGCATTTTTTTTTTCTGTAGAATAACATCTTAAGATTATACAAAAAACTTTTAACCTCTAAGACTTTAGGTACGTAAGTGCATCTTTAAGAGCGTTTTTCTCGAAACCACGTTTCGAAAGTCTGTGTTCATCGGCATTTCTAAACGGCTCAACCGATCGTTTTCAAATTTGTCGCATATTTTTCTGCATAAAAAACCCGCCCGGAAAGCGTTTTTTTATTTTTTAACTTTAAATATTTTACTTTTAAGCCGAAAGTCAAATTTTTTAGGTGAAAAAACGCATTTTTGACTTTGGACTTTCGAAAAAAATTGTTAAAATTAAAAAAAGGGCTTCCCAGGGGCGGGTTTTTTCAATTCTTAAGCGAAATGTAAAAACAAAATGGAAGTCCGATCATTATTAGCGGAGGTACAGTGAACACCGCAAAACGCCTTTTTTATACCCTTGCAGAGGGTATTATGATTTCAGTCAGAAGTTTGCAACGCAGTGAAGGAGAAGTTTCCGACCCCATATTCCCATATTCCCCATATTCTTGATCAGCATCACTAGACGAGTAGATCTAGCCATGTCCGTCTGCCCGTCTGTCCGTCCGTTTCTACGCAAACTAGTCTCTCAGTTTTCAAGCTATCGGGATAAAACTTTCCCAAAAGTCTTCTTTCTATTGCAGGTAGTATATAAGTCGGAACGAGCCGGATCGGACAACTATATCATATAGCTCTCATAGGAACAATCGGGAAAAAAAAATGTAAAAAAATTATATCTTGGGTGGTTTTGAACCTATAACATCCTACTTTTGGAAATGTCATTTTTTATCTAATTCTGAATTTCGAATAAAATTTTTTCAAAATCGGACGACTATATCATATAGCTGCCATAGGAACGATCGGAAAATTAATGGGAATATAATAGGAAATAAATTATTGCTTCGTTGGTTTTTATTGTATTCTGTTCTACTCTAGGATATAACTATTTTCAAGTATTTTCGAATTTCGATTTTAATTTTATCAAAATCGAACTACTATATCATATAGCTGCCATTGAAACGAACGCAAAATTAATGAAAAACAAGAGAGAACGCTATAGTCGGGTTGGTGTCCCGACTATCTAATACCCGTCACTCAGCTAAAGGGAGTGCAAACGCTGTGTCGGGTTGGTGTCCCGACTAATAATCGTAACTCAGCTAAAGGGAGTGCGAGGGAGATAGATATATGCTGACAATTTATAAAGCGTATAACTTTTTAATGAATGGTCCGATTTGAAAAATGTCTTCTACATTTCGATAGGTATAAATATACACAACAAAATTGCATTTACACTTCTCAGAAATCTTTAAAGATGTGGGCGCAGGACCCATTTTAAAATCGTTAGTGGGCGATTGTGGGCGTTAGAGGGGGCGTGGCGCTCGGCTAAAATAAACTTGCGCTGCGTAGGAAGCCAAAGAATATGTGTGGGAAATCTCAACCTTCTAGCTTTTGTAGTTTCTGAGATCTCAGCGTTCATACAGACGGACAGACGGACAGACGGACAGACGGACAGACGGACATGGCTAGATCGACTCGGCTAGTGACCCTGATCAAGAATATATATACTTTATGGGGTCGGAAACGCTTCCTTCCAGCTGTTACATACTTTTGCACGAATCTAGTATACCCTTTTACTCTACGAGTAACGGGTATAATAATAGGAAAATTTACATTTTTGCGATTTGTAAATTAATAGGAATTATCTGCAAGGGTATATAAGCTTCGGCTGGCCGAAGCTAGCTTCCTTTCTTGTTTTTAATAGTGTTCCAGCAATCGCTTTGCAACCAATATATTAGCCGATAGTATCGGCTGTAAAAATTAGTGCATGTTATTAAAATGGCACTTAAAAATATATTAAAGGTTTGAATTAAATCCATCCAACCAGTTTTTATAGAAAAAATCTCAAAGTTAGTCGATTTTTTGGTACCAAAGACCCCCTTAAAATATGTGAATAATATCAGTGAGTAATTGAGTTGTGCAAACTTTCAGCTTAAACATGTAAGAATTGTACTCATTGGAAATATAAGTAGGGCTTTTCTAAATTCGCATAAAAAATGATATATCTTGGAAATGATGAAAAGGAATAAAAATGTTTCTTCGGGTAAATTGAGTTGGTTATGAGATGGACAATCTTGGATAGTTGAGTTTAATGTATAGGATGAAGACTTTCAAAAACTTTTTCATACTTTTTGTACAACAAAAAATTTAAGAAAATAATTTCTAACTCCCCCAGTACACATTTAAAAACGTGTTCTCGAAATATACTAATTTGAAGTTTGAGAACATTTTTTAAGTTCTTAACTTCAAAAATGCATAGCGCCCCCAAATGAACACCAACACATTTTAAAAAAATCACAGATGATAACCAAGGCAAACTCTTCAAAGTACCCGAGTTTGAAGAAAATCGAAAATTTCATATGCGCAGTTGAGAAATTCTTACCCACATGTGAAAAGGTGATTCAAACCGAATAGCATTCAAACAGACAAAGATACCAAAGCTAAAACACAATTTCTCTTTCTTTCACACTTAATAATTTGTTTCGTTAAACCTTTCTGCTTTTTTATTTCTAGAAAAAAAGTTTTACCAAATTCGATGATCTTCAAAAACGTAATTTAATCCATGTACGTTCACGAGATTCTAAAAAAGCTCAAGAACTATTTCGAGTAAGCTATGTACCATGAAATTAACTCATTACATTTTCAAAATAACAAAGTTTCATTCTATTTTTATATTGCACATTAAATTTTGAATTATTAATTTTATTAGTCTACTACTGCTGAGCAGCTTGACAACTGCCGTCAATGCAAAAAACCGGTATACAAAATGGAGGAAGTCATTCTTCAATTAAAGACTGGAACGACTATTTTTCATAAAACGTGCTTACGTTGCAAGGACTGCGCCAAACAACTTAAGTGGGTACTAACAAAAATTATTATAATTAATAATATTTGCTCTAATACTTTCTCTGATTTAAAGACTAGAACACAGGAATTTGTGAACAATATAAATATTAGTTTTCTAAGTAATAAAAAAACACCAGTCAAATTTTGAATATAAGATACCCACTCTACTGAGCTTCTTGTAACAAAAATTTTTTGCCTGGTCGAATAAAGCTCTACCCGATTTTTGTGGCACCCACGCACGTTGGGATGAATGTTTTTTTTTTGACATAAACTCTAATTTTAAAGATACTGATGAGATAAAAAAAAACCGACCACCAATAATTTAATTTAATGACATGTTTTTGTTGTTTTTTTACGTGGTAGTGCTCGTCAAACCAAACACAAAAAGGGTTATTTAAAGGTTATTGCATGTAAGATAGCCACATTAAAATTGGGCATAGTTTTTGGGTAGCAATTTTTTGAGTAGCTACAACTTTTGAACGAGAGAACCGATTTACTTTTCCGATCTGGTTTTTTATGTATAACTTTTACAAATATGGCTGTCTCTAAAATGCCACGTTTTTAGGTAATATAATAAGGAAAATTTTAGGATTCTTTACAAAAAAAATGTAGGCAGCATAATTTGGTAAAAATTAAAAACCGATATTTTTAGTTTTTCTTAGGGCCGGTTTCTCGAGTGCCGGCTAACATTTCTCGAACAGATAAAGTCCCTGCTAAGGCATTTTGGCTTTCTCGAGCATAAATGTGAGAGTTAACTTTGACAGGGACTCGGAGTCCCTGTTAAGCGTTTTCGGCTCGATAGAATGACAGCTAATATTGTATTGTATTGTATGATTTTGAAATTATCGAAGCACGCCATTTTTTGCGCTTTACAGCACAATTCTGTGCGTTAACAGCACTCTGTAGTTGATTCTTGTTCAGAAATAAAACGGGTTGTAAGTAAAATATTAAAAAAATAGTTCAATTTTTTTTCTTAAAATTTGGAATGTTTTTGACAAAAAGCCCTGGAAGGCAACTATAATAAAAGGGCAAATTACATTTAAATCACAGGTCGTAGGGCAAGAAAATAAATTTTTTAATAGGCGACTCAAAGCCGATTTCTCAAAGCCATGTTAAGGTTCTATTTTAAAAAGAGGGCTTAAATAGATTTGTGTGACACCCCCGAATAAGGTCTACGCTTTTAAACAGGTGGACAATTTTGAAAACTAGGACGGACTTGGGAAGCTAATAACAATTAAGTTGTATCCTTTCGACCAACTTTCTAGCTTTACGTTTAAATATTTTGATATTTTGAACTTCTAACCAAAAAAATGTCCTATTCAAAAATACCGTTCGTGACTTTTTATATCTGTTGTTACATTCCTATAGGCCTGATAGCTATAACGTTCATGATGGAAGTCTATACTGTTCTATGCACTTCAAATTAATCTTCGCACCAAAGATAGTTTATGAAGAATTTACTCCACGAAAACCAGAGCTCATAATACGTGAAAATCAACCAATAGAACTTCCACCAGATGTCGCAAGAGGTAAAATATATAATTTTTGCATATTTGACCATATTGTTCCTATGGTATCTATAAGAATAAAACTTTCGCACAGATTAAGGGCTGTTTTCTCACCCGTCCTTTAAAGTTGAAGTTCACGAAATGAAGGATACAATTTATCCCCAAATAAAGGAGTGATGGTCTTGAAGTCGTATAGGAAATAAGAGTTCAAAGCATATTTGGAATTTAAAAGGCGTACGAGAAAGTGGCCCTCACCATCTTGCGACTAGTTGGCAACCTACATGAGAAGAGTTAAGAGGCCATCCACAGTCGAATTTACTCGACGATTTTTTATACCCTTGCAGAGGGTATTTATATTTATACCCGTTACTCGTAGAGTAAAAGGGTATATTGTATTCGTGCAAAAGTATGTAACAGCTAGAAGGAGGCGTTTCCGACCCCATAACGTATATATATTCTTGATCAGGATCACTAGCCAAGTCGATCTAGCCATGTCCGTCTGTCTGTCCGTCTGTCTGTCTGTATGAAAGCTGAGATCTCGGAAACTACAAAAGCCAGAAGGTTGGGATTTCCTACACATATTCTTGAGCTTCCTACGCAGCGCAAGTTTATTTTATCATGGTGCTACGCCCCCTCTAACGCCCACAAACCGCAAAAAGCCGTGGCGCCCACAGTTTTGTTTACAAACAGTACCAATTCGGTGCCATAGATAGCGCCGTCGCCGCGTGTTCAACACCTCCTGCTGGTGCTGGAAAAAAGCTGGTCACTCTAATTTGGAATATGTGAATGCAAAATGTAAATTATTTGAAATGGGGCGCGCGAAAAACATACAAGAAGGCATATTTATATTAAAGTTGTTAAGCTGAGTAACGGGTATTTAGTAGTCGAGGAACTCGACTATAGCGTTCTCTCTTTTTTAGTCCGAAGTTTGCAACGCAGTGAAAAGTATATACATATATTGTCGATCAGCACCAATAGCCAGTCCATCTGGCCAAGTCCGTCTGTCCGTTTCTATGCGAATTAGTCTCTCAGTTTTAAATCTATCGTGATGAAACTATCCCAAAAGTCTTCCTTCTATGGCAGTCTTCCTTCTATATGTAGGAACGAGCCGGATCGGACCACTATATCCTATGGCTCCCATAGGAATAATCAAGCAAATATAACAAAATACATTAACTTTGTAGATAGTAGGCGTTCTGATTTTTGAGAATTTATAAACAATATTTTAAATAGTCATAATATATCTGGAATACCTGGAACTGTACCGATCGAGTGAGCATAAAACTATAGGTACATATTTTATCTGCAAGGGTATATAAGCTTCGGCTGGCCGAAGCTAGCTTCCTCTCTTGTTTAAATTATAATGAAGAAGTCGATTAGCCTGACGCAAGGCATTTCGATCGCATTTTAAAGAAGGTGTCGTTGTACTACTAATAAAATAAACAAAATAAATAAATAAATAAAATAAGCAAAAATAAGTATTATTATGAATTACACCAGTTTACAGTCAACTTACATTAAGTAGGACGCTGGTAGTTCCTGGTATAGTTTAATAAATTTTTGTTGGTATGTACCTGTTTTCATTTATATCTAGAGTTGCGTTTGCCCAATTTAGGTGATATTTGGGTTAATACTCTAGATTAGCGGACTCACCCCCGAAGTTCGCAAAAAAATTACTCTCGATAGACTGCGATTTTTTAAAAATTTACGTTCGGCCATGGTTCTCTTGTAATTGAATTTTTAATAGTAATTTTTAAAGTAATTATAATTTATTGAGTTCCTAAAAAATTATATGAGTTCCTATAAAAAAATGTAGGACTTAAAAAAAATGTATAAAAATATTTTTTAGAAAAAACGTATGCAAATTTACATATACGTAATATTATAATAAAAATAAACATGTGGTCATCAATGGTAATGATAGTTCTTAAGAAATTGCTGTCCCAAATTGGATTTTTAAACAAATAAAAAATTCTTTTTGATAGAAGCGAAGGTACGGCGATACTATATTTTTGTTTAATTCATTTATAGCTTTAAATTATGTGGTGTTAAATGTTAAATTTCCAATTATTTCACATTAATTTTTCGATCATTCCTATGGCAGCTGTATGATATAGTAGTTCGAACTTTGAAAAATTAAAATTGAAATTCGGAAATATTTAAAAATAGTCATATCCCAGAGTAGAAAAGAATTTAATAAAAATCAACAAAGATATAATTTTTATACCCTTGCAGAGGGTATTATAATTTCAGTCAGATGTTTGAAACGCAGTGAAGGAGACGTTTCCGACCACAAGTATATATATTCTTGATCAGCATCAATAACCGAGTCCATCTAGCCATGTCCGTCTGTCCGTTTTTATGCAAACTAGTCCAAACTTTCCCAAAAGTCATCTTTCTATTGCAGGGTGTTTTTTTAGAGGTATAGAACTTTAAGTTGCAATAAAACAACGATGGATTATTCGATTGACATGAATTTTTTTTTATTCGAAATATAATCTTGTGGCATTACATTTTATATATGATTTCTGGCATATGACCGCCACGGCTGGCTCGGATGTAGTCCAATCTGGACGTCCAATTCTCGATGACTTTTCCCAACATTTGCGGCCGTATATCGGCAATAACACGGCGAATGTTGTCTTCCAAATGGTCAAGCGTTTGTGCCTTATCCGCATAGACCAATGACTTTACATAGCCCCACAGAAAGTAGTCTAGCGGTGTTAAGTCACAAGATCTTGGAGGCCAATTTACAGGTCCAAAACGTGAAATTAGGCGGTCACCAAACGCGTCTTTCAATAAATCGATTAAAATTGCACTATTTGCAAGCGTTGTTCAGGCGTGAGTCTATTCATGATGAATTGCCAAACCAAACCAAACCAAATCGGTCTCCATCTTGAACAGTGATGCCAACTTAAAGTGTTTTACCTCTAAAAAAAACACCTTTTACATATGTCGGAACGAGCCGGATCGGACCACTATATCTTATAGCTTCCATAGGAATAATCAAAAAATAATAGAAAAACCACTTTTTAGGAATGCAGAGTTGTATTGAGAGTAGATTTCAGCGAAAATAATTAAGGTAAGGTATATTTCCACATAATTCGAATTCGAAGTCGGCAAACATCAGTTTTTTGTATTCATAGCTATACCGCGGAACCTGTAGGTGATGGGACATAAGTTTGTATGAGACTTTTAGTCAAGATCATGCAATTATCATGGAAAACTAGAAATGGTCCGTAGAAATTTCACAAAGTTTAGCTTTGTGTTCCTGTGTAATCAATAAAATATTACCATAAGAAGATAAATTCCAACAAAAAACCTTTAAAAACAAAGGGAACATAGCTGTATGTTTTTATGTTTTATAGATATGTTTTCTTTTATTTTTTCCCCCTTAAAAAACTTAAAATTTTTTGAGTATGGGGTTTAAAAGATAAGCACTTGCACTTTTAAAATGCTTTGACACCACAACAAACTAAGAATCCGTTTGCCTGTAATACGCCTGGAAAATTGACAATTTTATGAATTTTTCAAACTTTGAGGTCCTGTTTCTCAAAATCCTTGCGTCGGAGAACTTTTAATTTGGGAATTCGTAACGAATTCAAATTTTTGGCATCCAGCGAGGTAAATGTAAAAAGCAATAAGTTTGTGACACAGAGTAATCCTTGTTGGCCCCTGAAAGTTTCATTATCCGACTTCCATTACTTTCTGCATAATCACTATGGACGGCAGTCCATGTAGTGACGAAGCGCACCAGGAGAGTGTGCGAAGGCGACTACTATATATACACGAATAAATGAAAATCCACTGTGATGGTCCGATCATAATGATGATACACCTATCGAAAGGTATTGCAAAAACTAACAGGATTGCATACCAAGACTTTAAGAAAATCAATTGGCTTGGGAGAGAGAGCGGTGAAAGTGAAAAAGTGAAAATTTAGAAATTTGGAGCTGTTGGGGCCGTTGGGGATAAATGCCCCCTCGCAATGTTTTAATTGTATTCCTTTTGAAAATACCCGTCGAATGAGGGGTCATATGTCAAAATCCGACGCTCCGTTCAAAAGTTATAGCCAAAATAAGATTTTCTTCTTCTTCCCAAAATGAAAATTTAATTCTGTTTGTCAGTTTGTCAGTTTGTCCAAAACATGTTTTTTAAGTTTTGAAAATTTAATATGACGTTCATCACATCGATATAAAAAACTTTTGTTCTACCACTTTTAGAAAAACTCGCTGGTTTAGCGGGAAAACAGCTATAAATAGCTAAAATTCGGAAAGCCGTAAATTCTATACTACTAAAGCTACAGACTTGTGCTGCATCTCGTTTGAAAGGTATTTTTAATGCTATAAACGCCATCTATTAGGAATTTGTGTAAATGTAATAGTTAAAAAGATATGAACAAAAGAAATTTTTTTAGACTTTCTTTTTAGCTTTTTTTTAATTTTCTCAAAAACGGCTCTAACGATTTTCCTTACAACTTTAAACTGTATAGCCCTTGAGATTCCTTAAATTTTGGTATATAAAACATTACTGTAAAAAGTCACGTTTAAAAGTTATTTTTATACGAAAATAGCCACTTTTGCCAGCTCGAACAACTAACGCTCCCTGAGTATTGAATTTTGTGTGAGGGTATACGAACTGTATTTTAGGGTCATGGAATCTTTTGTTCTACGACTTTTGGAAAAAGGCGCTACTTTAGCGGGAAAAAAGCTAAAAATAGCTACATTTTGTTAGTTAGTAAGTTCTACACTACTAAAGGTACAGACATGTGCTATACCTCGTTTAAAAGGTATTTTGATATACTTCATCGCCTTTCTAACTTAATTCGTTTAAATACAATGGCTTACAAATTATGATTGACCAATTTAAAATTTAAATGTATATATTAGCTCCTATGAGAGCAAATGTAAACAAACAAAAACTTCTGATATCAAAAAAAAACACCTCTTAACGAGGTAAAAAACTAGTGACGATCGCACCTTCAACATACAAAAGTTCTGATATCAACATTTGTGACGAAAAATTATTACACTCGTCATTAAATAGACTTTCTAATATTTTCTCATTCGGCACGCTGCAATAGAAAATGCCTGTAAAGGGAAAAAGGCTGGAATAGTTTGCTAGGGCGGGCCGATTGAGAAAATATTAGAAAGTCTATTTAATGACGAGTGTAATAATTTTTCGTCACAAATGTTGATATCAGAACTTTTGTATGTTGAAGGTGCGATCGTCACTAGTTTTTTACCTCGTTAAGAGGTGTTTTTATTTGATTTAGTAAAACAATAAAAAACATTGCAGTTTTTCCTTGTTATACTTTTAATTATGTTTGACGAACACTATTGTTTTTATGATTTCCGGGAGATCGACCGTATCCATTTAGGTGAAATAAACTTGCGTTGCGTAGGAAGCCCAAGAATACGGGCGTAGTAAGCCCAAAAATATGTGTGGGTAATCCCAACTTTCTAGCTTTTGTAGTTTCCGAGATCTTAGCGTTCATACGTTCATCTTACATACTTTTGCACGCATACAATATACCCTTTTACTCTACGAGTAACGGGTATATATATTCAATTCAAAACGGCAGACTCTTTTTTTGTGATCTAGGGATCCAAGTCTACCAGGAATTATAATCATCCTTCTTGGTGAATTTTCAAAAATTATTTTGTAAACTAATGTAATACGTCTTAAAAATTCGATATAGTGGATAACGGACAATAGTTAAAACTTGAGTATTTAATATTGCAGCATCCGACAAACCAAGTCTTGGACTAGACGAACTTCAACAGCTAGATGTGCGCTCAAAATTTAAGGTTTTCGAAAATGGTCGTAAGGAACAAGTCAATCATTTACAAGATCGACAAGATACTTCAATTACCCACAGCAAGTCAATTCGGTCTACGCTAAACAAACTTCATAAGCTCGGGATACTTAATTCAGAACTGGAAAAATTAGATGATGTCGAATACAGCGATGTCGAAAAGTTGGGTACTGATGACGAAAGCGATTTGGATCTTTTGTGCTCCAGAAAAGATATTGAAAGGGAAAGACCTGTGGGCTTGGGAGAAGCCATGAACGATATAAGATCAAAATTTGAACAAGGCGATGTGATGACAAAAGAAGAACGTCGCGAAGAAAGGAAACAGGAAATACAGAGCATACGTTCTCGATTATTCCTGGGTAAACAAGCAAAAATAAAAGAGATGTATCAGTTAGCTGTCGCTGAATCAGAACAGGGCGTTACATCGGTAGGAAAGACCCCAGATATTAATGTCATAAAACCCACTCATCTAATCAAAGATAGATTTGAGAGTGGCGATGTTTTTAACGACAATAAAGATCAATCAAAAGAATCCACTTGTGGTATGCAGGCAGATGCGGATGTTTTTGAATCGGGTATGGTTATATTATAATAATTAAATATGTTTAATACATATGCTTTATTACTAATGCAGGAATAAGCAAAGCATCGCGAAGTATCTTTATGGAGCTAGATGCAAATATAAGTTCAAGTGTAAGCAACAGCCTTCCGCAAATCAAACGTCCCGATAAAAAAATTGTGAGCTGTAATCAATTGTGTCAAGAGGTAAGTTCATTTTTTTAAATATACTAACGTTTTATAGTTAACATATCTTAAAAAATACAGAGTACTGATGTTGACGTTATTAAATGCGACTCAAAGGCAGAAGAAGTTAAACTCACCACTGAAGAATTATCAGAACGATTTAAATTCTTCGAAACATATGCCCCTACCGAAAATAAAAAAAAAAAATTTCGCATTACTCCGCCCCGTGAGGGTGTTGTAAAGATGCCCTCTCCTGAGTTCGACGACGAGAGTTCAATTCAACCGCCTTTATTCAATGATAACGTTTTAAAGAAAACAAAAACAACGTCAACAATTCTAAGCAAGTTTCGGGAAATGGAAGAACAAAAAATTAAAGATAAAAACCAGGAAAGAAACCCGAAACCATTAAAATGCTTTACTCCACCACCTGAAATTGGTAACAATTTTAACAGATCAGATACGGAAGAAGAAAACGATAGTGATAGCGAGCAGAATAGTGATGACGACGAAAGGAGCCTTGAAAATGTGCCTCCTAACAAAGATCAATGTCTTTACGAGGTAATAAATAGCTGAATTCGGAAAGCCGAAGTTTTAAAACCAAAAACATAAAGCAATATTATATATATGAAGACAAAAAAGGAAGCTAGCTTCGGCTTATTTTTGACATTATTTTTTCTATCCTTGTCAGCTATATAATATAGTCGTCCAATTTTTTTTTAATTTAATTCGGAATTATTAAAAAAAAAGTCATATCCTTGAGTAGAAGAGAATATAATGTCAAAAAACACCGAAACAATAAAAAAAAAAAAATTTCTCAATCATTCCTATGGGAGCTGTATGATGCAGTAGTCCGATCCGGTTTGTTTAGCAAAAGAAAGAAGACTTTGGGAACGTTCCAACCCGATATCTTAAAAACTGAGAGACTAGTTTGCGTAGAAACAAACAGACGGACGTACAGACGGACATGGCTAGATCGCAATTATACATTTTCGTAATGAAAAGTAATGGTTTCTATCGTTTTACAGGCTCAAAATGCAGCACGTGCTAAACAATTGCGAGCGAAGTTTGAAAAGTGGCAAATTAACGAAATAGAACGCGAACTCAGCGAAGGACGTGTAGACACACACAGCTCACAGCTAATTTCAAATGAGTCTATAGAAAGTGCAAAAACGTGAGATTTTATGATGATGCGTTAAAAAAATTTAATGATAATGTGCTTTTAATTTCAGAATTCGGGAACGCTTTGAGAACATGAAAAATTCTGCAGCTCAACTGGAGAACGCGCCGAAAACTCAAATAAAACGTTTTGTTGTATGTTTTGTTCAAAATGAATTCAAAATATTAGACTTATCGTTTTCTTTTAGTAACGCGATGATTGCCTGATGGCCTATACCGACGAAGCCAAAAGCAAAGCTAAAAATAAAGCGTACTTCACGGATAAAACGGATCCCCTAGAAGCTTCGAAATAATATCTTATATTTTATATATCTTATATAAATACATTTTTGACATTTTGAATGTGGCAAATACAATATGATTATAATACTTTATTCTATAGCTTTATCCATAAACTCCAAGAATCGTTTGGCATATTGTTCAGGGTCACATGTCGATATACCATCAACATTACTGCCATATTTAACGGTTTTGGCTGCTTTAGCTGCCTGAAATAGATAATACTGTTAGTTAAGTTCAGATATCATTGGATTATATTTATTTATTAATACCTGCTTTTTTACGCCATATTGAGTGAGAACGTCAATAATTGCTATAAAGTAAATTTCGCGTTTTTCTGCAATATAGTTTAAACATGTTTTATTAACATTGAACCAAACATATTAGATAATTGTAATTATAATTAAATTATTATAAAAAAAATACAACTAAAAGCCAATTCAAATTAGTCATTATCTACCGTTCGCCGTCTACCATCCATTTTCTTGACATTTTTGAAAAAATGAAATAATTAAAAAAAAACATTCTAACCGTGTTTTATATACCTTACTAAAAATCTTGTAAAAAGGCAACCGCGCATATTGTATAACTATATTTTGTATACCCTTGCAGATGGTATTATAATTTCAGTCAAAAGGAGACGTTTACGACCATATATTTATACCAAAATGTAGTAAGAAAACCGATCGGACGTCTTTATCGATTAAGTGTGCATATAAAAAAATTTTTCTTCGAACTCGGGTATCTTGAATAGTTTGCCTTGGCAATACTCTGTGACTTTTTGGAATATTTTCACAGAGGCGTTGCGTCCGATGCCATATCTTTCCACGCTCTCGTTAAAAAAAGTGTAGACATTTCAACACATAAATTCGTTAGTTTAGTACCAAATTTGCATTTTTAAACTGTTTTCAATGGCAATTTTTGACCAAAAAAAATTATCGTCTACTAGGGTCATTAAATTCTTTAATTTTTTGTTGGTTTACGAGTAATTATTAGAAAGGAAAAATAAATGTTTAAACTAAATTTACCTTCAATACTTGGAATGTCATATATATCAACTTCGTAAACAACTTCTTTATACTGTGCACCTCTTGGGGAATCGGGGGGCGTGTTATACGTCCACCTTCAACAACAAATATTATTAAAAAATCAGTGTTTAAACTAAAACATTTTTATTTACCGCTCGCCGCTATCGCATTCTTCACTTTCACTATTCTCACTGCGACCGGCAGCTGGATTATTATCTCCTTGTAGGGCTTCTTCCTCAGCACGCACACAATCGTGCACGCCTACCAATAAAGAATAGTCCATGATGTGCAATTTGGTCAGCAGCTATAAAAAATATATAAATAGTAAGTAACTTAATAGATATACAGATTTGAGCCCTGCACAAGTAACCTGACTTGTTTGCCAAACCTTAAACCCGACAGACCTACTTGAAACCCATTTGACTTGGGTCGTTTGGGTTTGGGTATTTGGGTAAGTGAGTCAATTTTTACCCAAACCCAAACGACCCAAGTCAAATGGGTTTTAAGTAGAACAGTTCAGGTTACCCAAAGAAAAAAAATTGATTTTTAAATAAGACGATGATCACTAGACATCGGATTATATGCAAAATCATATTTTTAACGGCTTGTCGAAATCAAATTTCGATTGGACTGAAATTCGTTTCACGTTAAAATAATAAGATTAAGGCCATGTTGTTTTTGCATATCCGACATATCTAGCATATCAAGAACATATCAAACATATTTTACGACATATTATCAAAGCAGGCTTTTGTCAGAATGTTTAAGTATTCAAAAAATCATTTCAAAGAGAGTTTGTTGTGAAGAGTTGATTATTAAAAAAATGCCGAAAACTCAAAAGAAAGGTGATCGGCTTAAGGAATGGTTGAAAGACATTAACGAGTCTGCCATTACAGTAATTGACGACAATCTATACTGCAAGTCCTGCCAAAAACATGTAAGAAATGTAAATATATTAAATTATATTCTATCTTATAATTTAATGTCCTAGATTGGTAGTGATCGTAAGTCGCAACTTATACAACACATAAGAACAGAATTACATAAGCAAAAGCCAAATAGTATAACATCTAGAAACGAACAAGAAACTCCGTTTTTTTCCAATCTGTGTGAAGCCATGATAGCAGTTAACCTACCATTTAAATCAATTAACAACAACATTTTTAGAACTTTTTTACACAAATACACAAATCAAAACATACCAGACGAAAGTACCATACGCAAAAACTATCTAGACAGAAGCTATCAAAAAGCCCTCCAAGAAATTAAAAATGATATAGGGAATAACGCAATTTGGATATCAGTAGACGAGACAACCGACAGGAATGGACGTTATATAGCAAATTTAATAACTGGATCACTGGATGAGAAGAAGTCAACGCGTCCATATTTGATTGCTTGTCGTCAAATAGAAAAAGTCAACAACAGTACAATTTCTAGATTTGTAAACAATGGATTGAGATCTCTATGGCCAGACCTAAATGAAGAAAATGTACTGCTTATGCTTACAGACGCAGCTGCTTATATGATAAAGGCTGGTCAAAACTTGAAGGTATTTTATCCCAACATGATACATGTGACATGCTTGGCCCACGGATTGCATCGTGTCGCAGAAACTATTCGAGGACATTTCCCAAAAGTCAACAAATACATATCGGACGTTAAAAAAATATTTCTGAAATCTCCCCACCGTTGCGCCCAATACAAATTGATGCTAGATATTGAATGGGGAACTTGGATTTAGGCTGCATGCTTTCATGCTACAAACTTTAATGGAATCAGTCGTGTAGGTTATTCTTATTTATTGACAGTAACTATTTACTAAATATATTTATAGGTTGTAAATTCTCTAGGAAGCGACGATGCTCAAGCTATTCAAAATGTTCAGGAGCATAAAGGACTTAACTGTAAAAAGGGAACTCCTAACTATTCAGAATTACTTTTGCACCATGCCGTCAATAATTGAAAATTTAGAAAAAGGGTCCAATTCTCTGAAGCAAAATATGGTTCTGCTGAGCAAAGCTCAAGAAATGATAAATGACGTTCCAGAAAGCTTGGGAGATATATTAAAGAAAAAATTAAAGGATGTACTATTGAAAAGCCCGTACTTTAAAACGATTGAAAAACTGAATGACTCAATTAACAGCATAGATGGAATGAATTCGATTGACGATTTAAACATGGAAAAAATCTATAAATATAAATATGCTCCATTGACGTCGTGCGATGTTGAAAGAAGCTTTTCCGCATTCAAGCTTTTACTCACAGACAAAAGAACAAAATTAACTGTTGAAAATATAGAAAAAATTTTGGTCACATATTGTAAACAAAATTACAACTAAAATGTACTTTAACATCCTAACTATTGCTTAGCGTGATCCCCAAAGCACTAAATACACTCATATTAAATACGTAATTTTTCTGATTTTTTTGGTGTAATGGCGAATATATAAATTTGTTGCGTGTGGTTTTCAACAATTTTTTTTTGTTTAAAACCAATTCCAGCCGAATTGGGGCTTTGCACTTTTAATTTCCCTGTGGATCGGCTAATGTGGCGGGTACAGTTTTCAAAAATTATATTGATTGGTCCAACTTTTTAAATTATACAAATAAGCAGTAGTTTGATGAAAATGTTCACAAACTAACACGATTTTTGAAACCGATTTTCTTAAGATACGGTGGTGCAATTGTAGCTTTTTTTATTTATACCCCTTCTGTCAGCTACAGAAATACATTTTAAACATTTTTACCATTAAGCTCGAACTATATGTGCCTGTAAGAGACAGAAACATATTCGACATATTTTGGATATTCTCGACATATTTTACATATTCTCGACATATTTTGCATATTCTCGACATATTTTGCATATTCCATTGCATAAAAAAATGCATATTTGCGATATGTCGTCGTCATTCGAATACCAATTTAATATAGTGCCTAAATCCAAAATTTGGCGGTATTTGAAGCAAAAATTAAGAAAAACATATAATCCGATGTCTAATGATCACAATTTTCACAGCTCATCGACCCGTCGCGAATTCTTAAGGTCAAGATGGTTACTTGTGTATAATATTTAAAATAAAAGGATACGATATATCGACATTTGTTTTCACATCCTCCGACCATGCGAATTCTTGTGGTCTTCAAATGATGTATGATCCACAAAAACAAATTCTTTTGCTCTAAAGAATTCGCGGTTTTTGAAAAATCAATATAGAACATAATATTATAAAGAAACCTAATGATATATTCTATATCGATTTTTCAATGACGGCGCATTCTTAGGAACAATAGTATTTATTTGTGTGGATCATACATAACTTAACTAAGAAACCTAATTATATATTCCATATTTATTTTTCTAAAACCGCGAATTCTTTAGAGCAAAAGAATATGTTTCTGTGGATCATACATCTGTAATATTTAAAGATCAAAAGAATTCGCATGGGCAAAAGAAGTGGAAACAAATCTTGACCTTTAGAATTCGCGACGGGTCGATGAGCTGTGAAAATTGTCATCATGGTCTTATTTAAAAATCAATTTTTTTTCTTTGGGTAACCTTAAACCTGAACTGATATACTTGAAACCCATTTGACTTGGGTCGTTTGGGTTTGGGTATTTGGGTAAATGTGTAAAATTTTACCCAAACACAAACGACCCGAAAATTTTGGGGTCGTGTTGGGTAGGTAAATTTGTAAAAGAAAGCCTGACCTACTTGACCTGAAATTTCGTTTGGGTACCCAAACAACCCATTTTGTATACCCATGCAGGGCTCTAATACAGATGTTATTATCGGGTTCCTGCTTTTGGAAATCGATTCTTCTTGAGCATTACAGTTTTGTTATTTCCAACAAGAATGAAAGTTAACTTCAGAAGCCGAAGTTAAAATAAATAATTATAGTTTAATGCTCGCTTTATTGTTGCGATTCCAGACATATAATTGCCTTTTAAGTTTGGTTTTAAATTGTCAAAAATCAAAACGGCTACTTCATATAAAGTTAAAATTTTTTTTCAAATCATTTTTTGGGCTATTCTTTCATGACGTTTCATAACGATAGCCTTAA